TACCTCCAGGGGATCTAATACTCTATTCTGGTCTTGGAGGGCACCTATATTCATACACACACACACATACACACACAAACACACACATGTGTATACAACACATGCATGTGTGTGAGCATGTGCTCACACACCCATGCCTTTAATCCCACCCAGCACTTGAGAGACAGAGGTAGATGGATCTGTGAGTTTGAGGTCAGCTTGGTCTACATGGGGAGCTCCTGGACAGCCAGGACCCCCCACCTGCCCCCAAAAAAGAAAAAAAAGTTATCTGCAGACTTTTCCTGTTGTGGTTAGAGAACATGAAGACCTAGCAATGAGGTCTCCTAATTAAGGATACCGTTTCTTCTACTGTCAAAAGACAACAATTTCTTGCAGACTTCAAAGGGTTTACTTTCTTTTGTTTCTTAGACATAAGAAACCTTTATTTTCTCCTCCATCAGCTGTAACACAGCTTTTGCATAGATTTACAGTCACTACCCCATCATTTTGTAACAGCAAAAACAGCACTGCGGTCTAGGTTTGAGTCATCCGAGGTACATGAACATCTGAAGTTAGCCTAACAATCAATCAGTTCCTTCATCTACAATTACAAGCTCGTTGAAGGTTAAATAAGATTGACTAGAAAATGCTCATCTCAGCACACAGAAAGTAGTGTTATCCATTGTTCTCAAGCCTGGCACCTTAATGGAGAATACTCACTTGTTATTTTTACTAATTACAATGTTGTTATCTGCCATGTTCAAACCTGATTAAAAAAAAAAACAAAAAACAAAAAACAAAAAACAAAAAAAAAAAAAAAAAAAAAAAAAAAAAAAAAAAAAATGTGTAGGTAGGACCAGATTTACTTTGGTTTGGTGAAGCTGTAGATAAGACCCAGGGCTTTGGGGGTGCTAGCAAGTACCCACCTGATTGAGCTGAACTCTCAGCCCAGCTCTGCAATTCATGACATGAAAATATGCATGCTGCACCAGTACTCGTATACCAGTACTCTATAGAAGAGCGTGTTTAAGGAAGATAAAAATGTGTCCTCAGGAGAAATTTATCAAAACTGGCATCTTTATACATTTGCATTTATTATTAGATAACAGTTGTTCAGTATATACACTTTGGAAAACATAGCTAAGCAAACAAAAATAAAATCCCAGTGCAGATAAACTGTTATGCTGTTCTGGGTTGGTACACAGAATATTTTATACATTAATAACTGGACATGTTAAATCTGCATTTTTGTTTTTACAAAGTGATTTTGGAGTGAATAAAATTCAAGTGTAACGTTTTTTAAAATTAATTAATTTCATTTACTTTTTTTTTTTATTTTTTGAGACAAGGTTTCTCTGTTTAGCCCTGGGTGTCCTAGAACTCTCTAAGTAGAACAGGTTGGCCTCAAACTAAGATCCACCTGCCTCTGCCTCCGGAATGTTGGGACTAAAGGCATGCATCCTTTGTGTGTGGTTTACTTAAAATTTATTTTATATGTATGGGTGTTTTGCATGCATGTATGTCTGTGCATGGCTAGTGCCTTTGGAGGCCAAAAAAGAGCACTGGATCCTGTAGAACTGGAGTTCCTGACAGTTCTGAGTCTACTTGTGGGTAATGGGAATTAAACTGGGTCCTTTGGAAGCGCAGCCAGTGCTCTGAGCCTTCTCGTCTGACTGCAACTTATTTTCCTTGTACGTTGTCAGTCTTATGCAAATACTTTACAGATTTTAGTAACAAATATACTCTACCTGGATAAATGGTTTTGAGAACATCAAATCTGAAACTTTTGAAAAGACTGGTAGTTTTTAGTTTTGAGATGAATCTCACTCTTTACAGCACAGGCTTCTGAAACTCAACAGTGTAGCTCAGGCTGGCCTTCGCTGGATTGTAGGTATGAACCACATTGGGGTTAACTTGAGAAATGGGGTAAAATACACAGTGGAATGTATAAATTCTGAAATTAATTTTTCATGTGTGTGGGCGTTTGCCTACATGCCTTGTGAACCCATGTGTGTCTAGTGTTACCATTTGATTTCTTGGAACTGGATTACAGAGGGTTGTGAGTTGCCATGTGGGTAATGGGAATCAAACCCTGACCTTCTATTTGCTACCAGCTGGAAGGTAAAAGCAATGACACGTGGATCAGTAGAAATTCAAATAACAGGACACATTTTATCAAGCTGTTTAAGAAAACCCCACAAAAGTAAAAGATACTCAGATCTCATTCTCATGTTAAAATGGCGTTCATGTAGGTATCAATTACTAAGCTCTGGCTATGTGACTTTGAACTTGACAAGAATTTGTGACTTATTGACAAGGCTACCTGGCTGCTTCATGCTCAAGCCAAAGACTTGAAAGGTCACACACACTTTTAAGATGAAGAGGGAAATGTCCATATGCTGGCTGGTTTTCTGTCATCTTGGTACAAACTAGTCATTCTGGAAGGAGAACCCCAAGTGAGAAAATGCTCCCATCAGATTGGCCTCTAGGACCTGTGGTGCATTTTCTTGATTGAGGATTAATATGGGAGGGCCTAGCGCACTGTGGGCAGTGCTACCACCAGGGCTGCTGGTCCCAGTTTCTCTAAGAAGGCAGGTTGAGCAAGCCATGGAGAGCAAGCCAGCAAGCAGCATTCCTCCATGGCCTCTGTCTCAGTAACTTCCCTCAATGACGGAGTATAACCTAATAGCTGTAAGCTGAAATGAATCTTTTCCTCCCCAGATTGCTTTTGGTTATGGTGTTTTATCATAGCAACAGAACTGCATGGGATGTGAGGGTGAAGTCCAAGTTGTAAAGGAGACCTTAGGATGTTGGCAATGCCAGCACCATGCAATGTCTGCCAAGGAAAGCTGCTGGCGTGTGACTCAACCTATGACCTTACTGATTTCCCAATACAGTTGGATTTTATTCTCCAAGCCCTAGTTAGAACTTCAAGGACATTGAACAGAAGTGTGAGTGAATAACCTTATGGCATTTTACTTCTTTCCTTTTCTTTTTAAATTTTTTTTTGGGGGGGGGAGACAAAGACTCCTTATATTTTTCTGTTTGGTTTGGTACTATGTATTTCAAAGTATTCAACTATGTATCCAACTTTACAATAACCCTCCTCAACCTCCTGACAGCTAGGATTACAGGAATATATCTGAACATTGATTTATTCCTTCTCTTAAAGGAATAAGTCACCATTCAATCTATTACCTTTAAATATTTTTTCATGTTAAGGAGGCCTCCTTTATGTTCAGTTTCTTATCACAAAAGGATGTTAGATTTTATTGACTTTTTTTCTAGTTATCAGATGGATACGATCATGTATTTGTGCCCTTACTGATTTGCCATTACCACTACCCCAAATCAACACCTGTGGAAGTACTGTGGTCCTGTGTAGATGTGTACAGACCAGTGAAAACTTAGAGCCATCCAGTACTCATGTTTCCAGCTAAGGTCGAACAAGGCAATGCTTCACCTTCTTGTGTCAGCTCCTTAGTTGATAAAAGCATGGGGGTGGAAGGCAAGTCAGTTATGTTATGCTATTGGGCAAGTTGGGATAGGAAGTGAATTCCAACTACGATACATTAGTGGGGCAGCCTCACTGAATACTTCTGAACCTCATTTTCAACTTTGTAAAAATCAAACCTAAGCTGGTGTGTACAGTGACTTTCTAGGGCATCTACTGTGAAAAGTGAAACTCAACTGCGTATTAGCCTCATTGACTTTTGGACATTAAACCAACCTTGAGTTCTTGAGTTACTTGATAAGGTTTATAATCCTTTTTATATATTGCTAGATTTAGCTTGCTAGTATTTTTTTTTTATTAATTATTTGGTGTTTGTATACACAACAGACACTTTTTCAGTTTTGTTGTGATGCTTTGGGCTTGGGGGAACAGTGGGACATGTTTTCTATTTTAGGAAGAACTTGCAAAGAACGGTGGTGCTGATTTTACTGTTTGTCAGAACTAAACAGTGACAGCATCTGCTTGTAGGATTTTTTTTTTTTGAGACTCTTGTGATTAGTAATCTTTTTGTTACCAGTCATCTTGTTATTTCAAGTTGCTTTTAAGTCTGCTTGTAGGTCAAATCAAAATGATACAGCTATTATCTTCTTCAGCTTTTGAAGTTGAACAAGGAAGCGAGGAAGCCACTTTCAATGATTGGAAAATTCAGCAGCCACCAGAACTATCTAGTTTAATCTCCATTCTTAACTTCTACTGTTAGCTTTAAACACAAGCATTTTATCACCTCCTCATGGTTCTGTGAACTTATGAACAAGAAATTTTAGTCTGTTCCACATATGATTTATATACAAACCTCTTGACTAACACTTGAAGCAAAATCCTGTAATCACAAAATCAAAAGCAGTCCTCAGGGTTATAAACAGCTCTTTCTCTCTCCCTATGCACACAAACAATACCAATCTGAGAACCTGGAGAGAATGACGCCACTGGAATAGAAATTTGAGAATAAGTTCAGATGGCCAACTGGTCTAAGGTGCTGCATTTAGGTCGCAGTCTCCCCTGGAGGTCTGGATTAAGATCCCCACTCCTGATAAGAAAATTGAGACTAGAACTGAGACTACAGTTTGGCTCCAATGTAAGATCTGTTTTCCCCATTGGTAAAATGAAGCAAATGAAGCCTGGTGATTGAAAAGGTTCTTTCTGGGGCGGGATCGATGGTTCAGTGGTTAAGAGCACTAGAGCACTTGTTTTTTTTTTTTTTTTCTTTCTCAAGACAGGGTTTCTCTATGTAGCCCTGATTGTCCTGGAACTAGCTCTGTAGACCACAGTGGACTCAACTCACAGAGATCTGCCTGCTTCTGCTTCCCAAATGCTGGGATTAAAGGAGTATGTCAAGCACTTGCTATTCTTGCAGGGGATGTAGGTTTAGTTCTTAGCACTCACTGTGAGTGGCTCACACCTGTCTGTAATTCTAGCTCTGGGGTTCTGATGTCCTTTTCTAGTCTCCATGGACACATGTACATATTCAGGCCCCCCCCCCACACATGTAATAAAGTACATCTGAAAAGAGAAAGGGTTCTTTTTTTTGGTGCCATAAATTTAACTCAATCTATAGAAATGTCATTCTTACTGCTTTTCTGAGTGGTCAAAATGAAAATATTTGATACACATAAATATACAATCTAATAATACATTTTTCCTCTAGTACTGATGATCAAGCCCAGGTCCTTCCACACATTAGCTGAGCACTGTACCACTGAGCTATATTCACAGGGCTCCGTACTTCATTCTTATAGAACAGATTAATTCATAGTCTTAAAGTGAGACAGAAGCAAGACAGATAGTCTGATTAAATAATTTTTTTTTGTTTTTTCAAGACAAAGTTTCTGTGTAGCTCTGGCTGTCCTGGAGCTCACTTTGTAGACCAGGCTGGTCTCAAACTCAGAGATCCCCCTGCCTCTGCCTCCAAACTGCTGGGATTAAAAGTGTGTGCCACCACCATTCAGTACTGCAGTTATTCTAATTTTCAAAAACATGAAGGTCAGTTTTCAGAAATCATAAGCCTGTCAGAAAAACTGAATGGCATTTCATCAGTTGTCTCTACCGGCACATTACTTCCACCAAATTGGCAGGAGTAATGGTGGGTGGGATAACTTGAAATTAATGCTTGTGGAGTCCGGCTGCAATGACACCTGTCTGGTGGCATACCACTGTCTGAATTACCAAGATGTGAATGGTACACATCATGGAACAAGTCCTGAGATGAAGGAAAATGCCCTGTTCCCTCTGAGGTAGGCGTGGAGCTGTGATAAGGCTCATCAGGCAGACGGCAAGCCTGAAAGCAAGTCTTCCTGCCCAATCCTCGATGCATGTCTAACTTAGCAATAAGGGGTTTCCCAACATTCACTTCCTGCTTCTCCTCCACAGTGTCTTCCAGTCCTGAATACTGATAGGATAAACATACCGTGAAGATCAGATGCTCCTAAAAATGAAGAGATTCATCATGGTTATTAACTGTGGAAACCTTAAAGTACCACTCCCTATCCACAACAAAGGCCCACTCAACTCCCTCTCTGAGGCTCCTTTCCAATACCCCTAAAGCAAATGAGGCGGCATCATTCAATACTTATCTGTTCAAAAGAATTCTAGTTCTTACTAAAGTAAGCTATAAATCACAGGTTTCCCATTTCTGATGCACCGTGAAAGGCATTTTCTGAGCAGTGAGGCACTGGACTCTTATCCTTCCTCATAACCAAAAACAGGGCCTTTAATGTGGCAGTCATCTACTTTACAAGAACATTCAAAGCCTAAGCTGCTTTAACATATTACTAAATAGTAACTCAGTCAAATAATGAGAGTTTAAGTAGACTAGATATGAACGAGTAAAATTAGTCTGTTGTCCTCATAACAAGTGTCTATTCCTTTGCCTAATTTTTACTACCTTGTAATCACATAGCTAAGAAAAAAAGAATTTTTTTTTTTTTTTTGGGCAAGGATATGTTAGAAAGCTGAACTGTTTAAAGCCATTTTCTCATGTGTCAGTCAACAAGAAGTGAAATAAAAAGCAATTCCAATTTTAATTTGCTGTATGTTTTGTAGAAAGCTACAACAAAGAAATCAAGACTTAAAATGTATCACGTATCCACCGTGTGCCCGATTTCTTAACAGCATAGAAGGCACAAGTCCCTAGGCCAGTATCAGGAACAAAATTTAGTGACAAAAGTATCACTGAGAAGACCCACAGTAGAGTGGTTATTGCTGCTCCAATATAACACCCAAATGAAGCTGCTCATCTATAGATTATGCCACAATCAGTTTGGTTCCGCCACTTTTTCATCAGTTGCTATAAACAAGAAGAGTAGTAACCTTCAGTTTTTGTAGTGAACTGAGCCTAGTGTAGAGGCAATGCTTGGGGAGCTCTTTTGATACTAAATAGCTGCCAGTTTCTTCAGGAGTCCCCTTATTTGCATGCTTTGGATCAATATCTAGATCCTATAAAAAAAAAAAAACACAAATCAGTGAATGTCAATGATGCAATCAATCAATGCAAGTTATAACATTGTCTATAACATAAAATGTCTCCATAGATACCACTTTCTCATGAGTGTTGAACAGGCAATCCCTTATCCAGGACTAAAGAAACATGAAAATGATCCAAGTTCATAAGTTGCTATCTGTATGTATGCCTGGGTGAGGATAAGTGTATCACAGGCATGAGGGTACCTGTGGAGGCCAGAGGGTGTCGGATGCACCGGAACTACAGTCACAGGTAGTTGTGATTGGGCTAATGGGGGTGCTGAACCCTGGTCCTCTGCAAGAGCACTAAGTGCCCACAACCTTTGACCATCTCCAGCTCCACTAGCAAATTTTATGTTGTAATAAAAACTTAGACTGTACTCAAGTTTTTAAAATCAAGTTACTCATCAGGGCGATGGTGGCGTATGCCTTTAATCCCAGCACTTGGGAGGCAAAGGCAGTCAAGAACAAAGTGAGTTCCAGGACACCCAGGGCTATGCAGAGAAACCCTGTCTTGAAAATCCAAAAATAAACAAATAAAAAAGTAATTAAGTAATTAAAATTACTCATGACATTCATACACACACACCTTATAATATAATATTTTATTCTTCTCACAGTTAAAATTCTATTTGAGGATAAGATACTGAAGACATCCTTCCTGAGTGAACCTTAGACACTTTTGAATTTGACACATTTAAGGTATTGTGGCAGTTATTAAAAACTATGATCAGTGTTATGCATATAAGCACTTCCTTTATACTTACTGAATTTTATGGTTTTAAAAGTTTATTATTTGACTTCTTGTTTCTTTTGGTGCTGGGGCTGGAACACAGGGCCTTACACATGCGAGGCAAGCACTCTATCCTTAAGCTACAGCCTCATCTCAATGGTCAGTCTTTAATAATAAATGAGAACGTATCAGTTTATGTTATAGAAAAGAAACGAACTTTACCAGTGGGAAATCAGTAACATAGGCATCACACATTATTATCTCAGGTGGTTTGTGGACTATGCTTGTGTAGATTATCATGACATTTGAGAACTCTGCAGCAAATCCTAATTGAATATGAACACCACATTGAAATTGAAGGCACATACTTTCTGGAAGTTCTGGAAAAGAACAGTAGAAACAACATATAATAATATTATTTAAAAACTGCTTGGTAAATTTTCTGATGGTTAGCAAATATCCTCGTCGGGCAGTATATGGTTAGATCATTTGCTTAAAAATATTATGTAATGCTACTCCTGAAACATATACACATAATTAGACCAAAAGCCAAACCTTTTGCCATCTACATATATGGTTTTTCCAGTGGGAATAAAATATACATATATTTTTATTGATGACTCAATTTTTACAACAAGAACTTTCATGTGTGGTGTGACTTTGTGTGAAGGATAAAGCCTGGGGTTTTGTGCATTTTAGGTAAGCACCCTACTATTAAGCTAAAACCTCTTACCCAAACAAGAATTTTTTTTCTTCTTTTTTTGTTTTCCAAGACAGGGTTTCTCTGTATTGCTTTGAGGCCTGTCCTGGAATTTGCTCTGTAGGTCAGGCTGGCCTTGAACTCACAGAGATCCATCTGTCTCTGCCTCCCAAGTGCTGGGACTAAAGGCATGTGCCACCAACACCAGCTCCAAAGAAGAGTTTTTACAAAATATATTGTCACCAAGTGGCTGTGATAATTTTTTTAACTAGTCATTTAGCTACTCTTGAATATCTACAGTATTTCTGGGTTTTGATATTTTTCTTTTATTTCAAGATAGGGTTTCTTTGTGTAGCCTTGGCTGAACTAGAACTAGCTTTGTATAACAGGCTGGCCTTGAACTCACAGAGATTCACCTGTCTCTGCCTCCTGAGTGTTAGGATGAAAGAGGTGTGCCATCATCACCCAGTGTTGTTCGTGTGTGTGTGTGTGTGTGTGTGTGTGTGTATGGTTATACATACATACATATGGAAAAGACATTCAATTTTAATTATTTGTACAATTATCTAGATGATGATATATTTATAGCACTTTACCCTTAATGTGCTATTAACATGCTAATTTGTCAAAAATTATGACCTTAGAGAACAAAGTATTATAAAGATTTTTTTTTAAACAGAAGTTCAAGAAATACAATCTTTTTTTAATGATAAAAGGCTCAGAGTAGATACCTGGGGAATGTCACAGAAAATTCTTTCCTTCACGCAATAATTTAAGCTTACTTTTACTATACCATATAAACTACTAGAGTTTAGATGGTACAGATATGATTTTCTTTTTCTTGTCTTTGCCACTCTACCCACCAATTAAGTGTCATAGATATCATGATAGTATCGGTTATGAGCCATATTGTCTGCATAGATGAACCTGTAGTTAACATCAACAACCCTATGAGACAGAGGCTGTTTCTTAATTCTAGACAAGCTGAACACATGATAGAATCCAGACCTGCCTGGCCCCTGACAGTTACACATTTCAAAAGTCACATTACGGAGAAGCCAAAGGCTTGCCTGCATCCCATGTAAATAAAAATTTAACTCAGTTTCAGAACAGAAGAATTAAACATGATTATTAACTTTCGGAGTTCTAGGCCAATCTAGGCTACATAATGAGGCCTTTCTCAAAAGACAAAAACAAAAGTAAATAAAATTTGTTTTAACTAATAGTGAACTACTAAACTAAATACTTTGGTATTTCTAGCATAAACCACTATTATATACAACTGAAAGATTAGTTTTGGACTTGCTTACTAGGTGAGTACATGCTCTTTTGAGGTAGCATCTTGCCATGTATCTAGACTAACCATGAACTCATATCTTCTTGTCTCAGCCTTCCAAGTGCTAGAATTACAGGTGTACACCACTGTATCTGCCATTCACCCCCACCCCAATGTCACTGTAAAACTCTGGAGAAAATGGCTTAGTCAGAATAAAAAAGACTGTTTTAAAAAATAAGTTTATACCTGTGGTACACAACTTTAATATCAGCACCCAGGAACCAGAGGTAAGTGGATCTTTGTGAGTTTGAGGTCAGCCTGGTCTACATAGTGAGTTCCAGGCCCAGTGAGACACTGTCTCAAAAAGCAAATCAAATAAACAAACAAAATTAATGTTAAGTTTCTGATGGAAGCTCGCACAGGAGACAGACTTTAGCGTACCATGAGCCTTGGCCCACTGTAGATTCCGAACAAGAGACTCTGCAGAGCAAGCTGTCCCCTGGATTGGATCAGTTAGTGCTCTCTTTTCAGACAAGCTGCTTCGGATCTCTAGTGCTTGCTTGCCTTTGGTAAGGTGACATTTACCCATATCTGAAAGACAAGAAGGCAAACACTTTTTAAAGCTGGTTCTTTTGTTATGTATAAAATAGTCAGGCCAGGCATTGTGGCACACACCTTTAATCCTGGCACTCGGAGGCAGAGGCAGGAGGATCTCTGTGATTCAAAGCCAGTGAAACCATGCCTAAAAAAAAATAACAAAAATAAAACCAAACAAATTTAGGTTAAGCATTTCCTAATAGGTCAGACTTTATGCTCAATATCATCTGCTAACAAATGTTTACTCAGTGCCTACTAGGTACCAAGCATAGTTCAAAGTGCTAGTTTGAAGCAGTGAGCAAACACATAAAAACATTGACCTACAAGTATGCTTCCTAATTACTAATTACTATTATTTTTTGACATAGGGTCTCATGTTGTACGTGCTGACCTCAAACTCACTATGTAGCTGAGGCTAGCTCTAGACACGATGTACCACAACTGGTGTAGCACACTTCCTTTCGTCATTTATTTATTATTTAATTTTTATTTTTAGGGGAGAGCCCAAACACAGGCCCCTTTTTAAGAGAGATACCACCTACTTTATGTCTGTACTCTGCTGAGAAACATTTTCAGTAGAAAGTCAAATGACGGCATACTCATGAGAACATTTAAAATTAAATGTCACATTTTCTTCAACTATCTCTATTTTTAAACAGGAAGTAATATATGTATACATACATATACATACATATATGAGTATTTTTTTCCCGGGATAGGCTTTCTCTGTGTAGCCCTGAAAATAGTTCTGTAGACCAGGTTTTAAACTCACAAAGATGCACCTGCCTCTGCCTCCTGAGTGCTGGGATTAAAGGCATAGACCACCACTGCCACCAGCAGCCTACTTTTGTATATTATACTATGAACTGTTAATAAATGGTAAAGTTAAGATAGGCCTGATGGTTTGCTCCTGTAATCTCAAATAAAAGATTAAACAAGGCGATCGAGGACTACATGTTAAAGATTCTTACTGGTTAAATTCTTATTGGTTAAAAAAGGACAGATATACAAATAACTTCAAAAACAGAAGATGAAAAAGAAACAGGAAGCCTTAACCAAATAAAAAAACCTGGATGGCTAAAAATAGTTAAACATTCAAGTAAGTTGTAGAGGAAGATGCCTTGCTTGGCAGAGAGTGCTTACTGCACTTTTATCTTTCCTAACAACTGGACTGGGCAGCAGCAAGGCATCAGGCTGACAGAAGGCAGAGCTCTGAGGACCGAATTCCATGACATTCACTAAGACAGCATGGAAAGAGAACTGGGTAGCATCAGTGATGCTGAACATTAAGTCAAAAACTTTCCTAAAGCACACAGTAATTCCAAACCCACACAGTACTGATGAGAATAAAATAACCAACAACAAGGAACCCTGGGTGGGTTTCTCAATGCCGGCCCTTTTTTGAGTGGACTGCTCTTTTTAAAGTTTTACCTTCTGCAACTTCATCCAGTAACACAGTTATTTTCTTGTCTTCTAATAATCTATCTTTTAAAAATTTCATAAAAATCCCATTTGCCAATCCGGAATGCTGGATTTCAAAAGCTTCTGCTCCTTGGCACCTTAGAAACACCAAGAGGAAAAGGTGAAATAAGGCACACAGAACAACAAAACCACGTGTCCACTGACAAAACTCAGCACCCAACTGAAGCCAAAGGCAGAATGGTGCTGACCAGGGGCTGGGAAGCAGGTGGGAGGGAGATGCTGGTCAGCACAAAATGCTTCTGTCTCTCCGACAGGGGAAGTGAATGGGCATGAAAGGTAACTGGAATACTAATGGGCTCCATACAATCAGTGCATGCTGTGTATATTGTAGCACACTACACTCTACAAATGTATATGCTTATAATCTGTCACTATTCAATAGAAAAGAAACCAACATAAAGAAAAGCTAACATTTGCTAGTGTAGTGCCCATACCCACAGATACGTTTCCCTCTTTCATCTGCCCTTCAATGGCTTCCCAACTAGAACTGAGCTTGAGGTAGAAGTGAAGGGTTCTGCTGCCCAGTGAGAAGGTATGGAGACTGAAGCACACAGCTGAAGCTTTCTCTCAGGCACATCAAGAAGGCAAATTTATGCCTAGATGCCCATGGATATTTCTGTCTCTAATCTACAATCAAAACAAAGACATACGAGAATAAAGAAAACTGAATGCAAAGTTTTCTTACGTGGCATATCCAAACACAATATTGGCAGTGACTTTCAGTGCATCCAAGATTGGAATGGTATCATCATAGTCATTTCTATTTATATATGTGGAAAGGAGAAAAGGGCAGATACAAGTGTGAGAAATTACAGTGTTCTTCAGTGAAAATTATGCTATTACTTTTAGTACACATAAAATGATAGATTCAAATTCTTTTACTTATACAGCTACATACATACCAAGAGCAACCCAGGCCCCTACATAATGAAGATAGCAAACAGTCATCACATCTTTAGTTAGCTTTTTTTTTTTTTTTTTTTTTTTTTAAAGCTAGGATCTTGTTGTGTAGTGTGGGCTAGCCTCAAACTCAAGATCCTCCCACTCTCAGTCTCCTGATTGCTAGGATACTGCTATGCTTGGCTTTCCATGTTTTTTTTTTTTTTTTTTTTTTTTTTTTCCTTTTTCTTTTTTTTCCAGAGATGGTCTAACTATGCAGCCCTGGCTGGCCTGGAACTTGTTATGTAGACCAGGCTGCCTTTGAACTCATAAAGATTCACCTGCTTCTGATTTGTGAGTGCTGGGATTAAAGCCAGTTCACACCTGGCTTTTTTTGTTAGCTTTAAAAATGAAGTTGTAGCTCCCTCATTGAATTCTAACTGATAAGCAAAAATATTTGAGAGGAATACTCACTGGATCTGATCCACAGGGGACACAAAGGCAGACAAACAGATTTAAGACTTCTAAAATCTACTCAACTATACTTTCCACATTTTTACAACAAGACAGACTGGTGACTGCCTGGTCTAAATCCATAGGTGTGATTGTTAATTCCTGGAGAATAACTGCAGTGACTGCTAGCAACATGTGTATGTATTCTAGAGAGCTGATGCTTTGTGGTACAAGTACATAACTTGTGCCGTCTAGTTCTTTCTACAGCAAACAGAAAATAAGTTAAAAGCTTAGATACCTACACTGAAAATACATTAAGTCTGCTTTTTGGAAACTCACAATTCCCACTGGTTCTTAGCACCTTATGGAATTGGCTTCGGTTGAATTTGTCAAGGTTGATAATTAATTCCAACAACAGAGATTAGAGATTTTACCTTTTCCGACACATATCCAACAGGAACACATTGAGCCCAGTTTCCTTTTCTTGCATCAATTTCAGTATGTTTTGTACACACAGGCAATTTTCAGAACGATATGGATTTGGAGCATCAACAGGGACCATAAAACTGTTCCCAAAGTTTTCATAACCATGCCCTGCATAATATAACAACCCTGGGGGGTGGGGGAAGAAGAGGTGTCAACTCTAAAAGCATTTCAACATTTACAGATACACGCTGTAAAAATGACTTATTTTCTTCAGGCTGATGAAAGCATATCTAAGAAACACTCAATTACAGACACAGTCAATAATCAAAAGTTGATCTGAACTTTATATTATTTTGGACATGCTCTTCTGTAACACACAAAAAAAAAATCAAAGACCCAGGGGCAGATATTGGGGTTCAAGCTTCAAGCTGAAAATCAGAAAAGCAAAGCAGCCAAGCCACTAGCTCTTACCACTAGCTCAGGCTGAAAGGGCTGATCCTGTCTCCATGAGTTCTCTACCAGACCTCATATTGCTGTCTCTCCTCAGTGTGGCTGGAGAGAATGAATGCCAACTCTAAGACCTTGTGACTGCCTTAAATACCTCTCATGAGTCCTGAGATTAAAGGTGTGAGCTCTGTTTCTCTTTTAGACCAATTAAATCTCGTGTAGCCCTGGGAGGCCTTGAAGTCAGGGAGATTAATTCGCCTCTGTTTTCCGAGTCCTGGGGTTAAAGGTGTGTGCCACTACTGCCTGGCTTCTATGGCTAACTAATATGGCTGCTAGGAGTAAAGGCATGTATCACCACTGCTTGACCTCTACTTTGTGGTTGACTTTGCTTTCTGAATACTAAGGCAAGCTTTAATAAATCACAAATAATGTATCACCATAGTCTTTGTTTAAATTTCATATTTTATAATACCACCAAGATACTTTAGGAAATATATTCTAATTTATAGAAGACCCAGTTAATAGCATACTATGAAGTAGAAAAGGGTATCGAGAACTCCTTTCCTGGTTTGTCCCCTCATGAGGCTACAGTGAAGGAAAGAAACTTGCTAAATATTTAACAGGTTACTAAGCAAACACAATTCAAGATGTTTAACATCATTTATTACTAACAAATCTAAACTGCAATAAGATATCATTTCACTTTTATTAGGCAGCTGCAATCAAAGACAGGAAATAACAAAGATGAGGAGAAATTGGGAAGCTCATTCACTTGTCATGGCAATATAACACAGTCTATAAGAATTTTGCAGAATCTACATCTCCTCAAAAAAATTAAACACAGAATTACCATATGTCCAGCAATCCTACTGCCGGGTATACATGTAAGAGAACTAAAACTTGTGTCCATACACAACTATTAAAAACACTTATAGAGGCATTATTCATATTACCCTCAAAGTGAAAATAACTCAATAACCATGTGATAAGCAAAATGTGGTATGTTCATATAATGAAATATTATCATCTTAAAAAGTTCTGATAACATGCTATAAACTAAGTACATGCTCAGTGAAAGAAGTCAGATGGGAAAGGTTATATGCAGAGGGTTCCATTAAGAAAAAAAAAAAAAGATTTATTTGCCTGGCGATGGTGGCTCACGCCTTTAATCCCAGCACTTGGGAGGCAGAGGCATGCGGATCTCTGTGAGTTCAAGACCAGCCTGCTCTACAAGAGCTAGTTCCAGGACAGGCTCCAAAACAATACAGAGAAACCTCGTCTGGACAAACCAAACAGGATTTATTTTAAGTTATGTGGATGATTGTCTGAATGTACAGTTTTCTCAACTTCACACACGAGCTAGGGTCATCTGGAAGGAGGGATCTTAATTTAGGAAATATTTCACCGTAAGATTGGCCTTCAGGCAATCTGTGGGATATATTTTTTAAAATTAATAAATGACATGGGTGGGCCCAGCCCACTGTGGGTGGTGCCACCCCTAGGCACCCTACTCTTGAGTTATATAAAAAAGCAAACTGAGCAAGACATGGGGAACAAGTCATGAAGCAGTGACCCTCCATGGCTTCTGCTATACTTACTTCTGGGCTCCTAGATAGAGTTCATGCCTTGACTTCCTTTCATGATGTACTGTGGTCAGAACACATAAGCCAAAGATAAACCCTTCTGTCTTCAAGTTGCTTTTGGTTATGGTGCTTTATCACAGCAATAACAAGTAAACTAAGACAGCGTGTGCATATGTGACTGCTATAACCCATAGAGTCCAGAAGAGGGCATCAGATCCCCTGGAGCTGGAGAGAGCCATTTGTGAGCTATTATGAGTGCTGGGAACTGAATTTGGTCCTCTGTAAGAGCTGCAAGTCTTAACTGCTGAGCCATCATCTCTTATCCCTTGTGGTTCCAATTATATGAAATATCTAGAATTGGCAAGTTCCTAAGACAGAAGGTATAGTGGTCAAAGGCTAGGTTAAAGAGACATGTAAGTGGTCACGGCTCTCCTTTTCCTAGCAATGAAAATGAAGTCAGGCACAACTTTGGGAATATTCTGAGTCACTAAATTATACTTTTAAAGAATACAAGTTGTATTTTTTAGCAAGTGTTCAAGATGTAACAATTTTCCACCAGCCTCTTTACTATTTCTAGTAAACTTCTAGATAAACTTTTCTTTCTTTCTTTGAGACATAGTCTCTCTGTAGCCCTGGTTAGCCTTGAAATCACAGAAATCTATCTACTTCTGCCTCCCAAGTGCTGGGATTAAAGGTGTGTACCACCATGTTCAGCTATGACAAACTTATTTTTAAGCTCCATACCTGCACTGAAGTTACTTCAGTGAGTCTTCTATCTCATTAAAGAGGTATGTTGAATTCAGATTCCTGAGCAAGTTTTAGCAACTAGTATTATAGCTTCCTAACATTGTAACATATACCTTGAAATGGTGCAGCACTTTAAAAAAATTACTAATATTTCAAAAATTTTAAAGATTTACTTTTACTTTTGGATATGTGCAGGTACCCATGGAGGTCATGCCTATGAAGGTATTGGATCCCCTGAAGCTAGAAGCTAGAGTTAGAGGAAGTTATGAGCCACCTGACATGGCTGCCGGGAACCTTACTCAGGCCCTCTGAAAGAGCAAACTTTTAACTGTTGAACCACCTCTCCAGATCCAGTAGCGCTCACTTTTTAGCATGTAATCACAGACTGGCTTTGAAGACATAAATAGTCTTACGCAGACTTAGGTTTTCTGTATAAACATTTTCATGGTTTTCAAATGTTTTCATATTTGCAACCTTTTAGTTCAGATAACACAGTTTAAAAAGGGTCTCATTTTGTAGTCTGGCTGGCCTGGAACTCATTGAGCCTGGGCCAGCCTCAAAATTGTGACAATCTTCCTGCCTCAGCATCCTGAGTGCTAGTGTGTCACAGAAGAGAAAATGAAACAGCTGTTTCAAGTCACATAGCTGAGGTGTCTGGACTCCATAGGTGTTCAAGTCATGCCTTCCAGGAGGGATCATCAAAATCTGTCAAGTCATTTGGGGTAGAGGCTAGGCCCTCCCTCCTGCGTTTAGGTTAGGGGAGTATCCCTCCATGGGGAATGAGCTCCCAAAGTCCTTTTGTGGACCAGGGATACATCCTGGTTCCACTGTCAGAGGTCTGATAGACTGCCCAGGCCTTCTAACTGAGACCCACATTCAGGGGTCTGAGTCGGTCCAATGCTGGATTCCCAGCTATCAGTCTGGGGTCCATGAGCTCCCCCTCCCAAAGAAATCTTAGGCAGACTCTTAATACACAAAACCTGATGAGTTGGACTTCTCTGGCCAAGGCCCAAAGAACTACCTAGTCCAAATCTCCACTCTAAAGGACAGTTTGAATTCCTTTAATAGATTTTTTCTGTGTGTGTGTGTGTGTGTGTGTGTGTGTGTGTGTGTGTATACATGTGTGGTGAGTATATGCATGTTTGTATGTCTGTGTGTACATTTGTGTAGAGACATGCATATACATGAGTGTGTGCATGTATATGGAGGTCAGAAGTTGATGCTGGGTATCTTCCTTGATCAATCTCCACCTTACAGATTCAGGCAGAGTCTCTCACTCAAACCCAGAGATGACCAACTTGGCTAGTCAGCTGGCTTACTCTGGTGACCCCGTTTCTATCTGTCAAGTGCTTTGGAATCCAGGCAATCTTCTATGCATGCCTGTCATTTGTGTGGGTGCTGAGGATCAGACCCTGACTCTTATGCCTATGCAGCAAGCACTTCATCCACTGAGCCACCTCTCTAGTCCATCTAATAAAATCTCAAGAATTGTAATAATAATGGTAACAATTGACACAATAATTTAGGCAGTCTGAGTGTATCAGGCATGAGGGTAATTTTTTCTTCCTGTAACAGCTTTGATAATTGACTTCTGGCCACTTTATATATCAGTTTTAGTTTGGAAAAATTACCTAACCAATAAATGGGTGCTTAACCATTGACTTACACTGAGCTAAATGACTGACTCCAGGGTAAATTTTTTTTGTCCTATTCTGACCAAATTCATTTAATATTCCCTTCCACAAAAGGCAGAGGTGAGCTACAAGCAGTGATGGATATACAAACACATTTGGTGAGGTGGACAGACTTCCGTACAGTTATGTTTTCCTATTTATCTGTATGACTATTTATACATTTATAAGTAAACTGTTTCTAGTTTTGGTTTTGCTGGTTTACATGTTACAGACTGAATTACACATTTTTTTAGTTCTACTATAATTTTTCTTTCTTTTACAATGAGTGGGCAATAAAAGAGTATCCACTGAGCCTAAGCCTTTCTGTACCTCACGTTCTTTACACTGAAACCCCTGCACCTTCTCCTCTTCCCTAAAGGAACACAAGTCACCTGGGATATCAGGAGAGGTAAAGGCATGAACCAAAAGAGAAATAACGTCTCTTTATGGCAAGTCCTACACCATGAAGCCTTCACCACACTTACATTGAATGTAGATGTGTCTGATGTTTTGGGTAGTCACAATACTTCAAAATATAATGCAGCCACCCTGTTAAGAAATGAATCAGGATTTTAAGTTTTCTAGCTTTTTTTCAGTTGCCCTTCGTTCTGTTATTTATTGCTTTTTATTCTATACCCCAAACTGATACCGTTACAGTGGGGACTATGTGTAAAGTGTAAAAGTCAAATTGAAATCTTGTATTCTAACTATCCTTTTACAGTTCTGGCTTTCTGCTTAATAATGGGGCAATTAAAAGTTCTGATTCAATTTTTCAGAGCTGAAAAATTACAATGACAATTGCAGTAAAAAAATAAGAGTAACTGGATATATGACTATATAATTCTCTCACCCTTTAGATATTTTACCAATCCAGAAACTTATATTTAACTTAAATCAATATCATTACTTTTTTTTCTCTTATATAACACTGTTTCTAGTGAAGTTTTAGAAGCAATTCCCTATGTATGTCAACCAGGCACCTTAAAAACATAAATTGTACAACATATTCAAGCAACCCACTTTTTAAAAAAAGAACTTTCATTTATTGAAGACTCATACAAAGTAAGTTAAGTTCTCAAAAATACAATTTCACAGGGAATTTTATCAAATGCAGTCAGTTTTGTAGCCACACCCTACACAGTGTCCGACAATGAATGTTGGGAGGAGGGCCTCACCTTGGGTCTGGGCTGTGGAAGAGGCCTGTCATGTGATTCAGATAAGGTGAGATAGCCTGGCCTCACACTGTGAATGCTAAATACCTGGATGCTGAGTTCACTGAGTGGATACCCTTGCATCAAAGTGCATTCCATGGCCCTTTCCAAATATCATGATTCCTTTTCCTTTCCTTTTGGAATTTCTTTTATATTATTATTGTATTTTTTACTATTTAAAACAATTTTCAAGTTCAAATATATTTTGCTCATACTAAAACACACTTCTTGTTAGAATAGGCAAGCTGTCAAAAGACCTATTTATATCTCATATGCTTTCCTATTTTTGAAAAGATCTACATATGTGTGTGTGTGTGTGTGTGTAAGTATATATACACTAGTATAGATGTCTACCAAGGCCAGAAGCATAGGATTCCCCTGAAGCTGGAGTTCCAGGCAGCTGTGAGCTGCCCAATGTAGGTGCTGGTACCTGAACTTGGGTCTTCTTGAAGGATAGCACGTGTTTTTTAACTGCTGAGCCATCTCTCTAGCTATTTTTCATTTTTGTAAGAAAAATGGATGAATATACCTATTAATTATCAATTTATAACACTCATGGGGAAACTTCATTTCAAAGTCAGCATAATGGTAGAAATGGAAAACCTGAAGTAACTACCTTGCTATTCATGTGTTCTACAATAGTAACCCTCCTTAATGAGAGAAGAAAATGAATTTAAATACAATTTTAAGGATTTTCACCATCCGTTAGCCAACAGTTTGTTAAATCTTCAAAAGGGTGGTTTTTGTTCCTTTAAAAATTCTACTTCAAGAATCTTTAAAAATTCTACCAAGTTTACCTCACCATGTTAACTTACTTATAAACAAGAAAGCTAAATCTCTTAAGTTATTGAAATAAATTGAAATGTAAAAAGCCAAATTGACACTTTGTGTTTATTATCTGCAATCCTAACTCTAGGCCAGGAGATGCCACATTCTAGGCACTCAAATATTAACAAAGTCATGGTAAGTACAATCTGAAAGACAGTTGGAATGAATTCAATTGCTGGTTTTCCCAAACTCAAGGTTACACACATTATAAGAAATAAATTAGTAAGGAAATTCTTACTTCTACCAACATATATTGGTGCATAATTTTTTTTTTACCAGCTCTAAAGTATCTTCAGTACTTTTCAGTAAAAGAATGAAGAAAAACCATTAAAAATTTATGGCTACATCTTGAATTAAATCTGCACAAAATTTTAATTAATAGGCTAATAAGACTGGGTCTATACACAGTGAGAGCCTCTGCCTAGTATGTAAAAGACTCTATAGGCTGAGTTACATCCTCAGCATAGGGCAGCAAACTGAGATGGATATGAAGGAAACCTACTCTCCAATATTTCCTTATTAAATTCTAGATCCTAGTAAACGACTAGAAAATACCATGGAATCATTACATAAGGGAAGCAAATACAATGTATATTCTATCACAATCACTTATATTTAAAAGAATCTACATAATATCAAGCATATATGAATGTTTTGCTATCTGATAATCTATAAGGTCAAGTTTCTAAACTTATTAAACAACTAAATATTGTACAGTAACTTTTATAGTCAATAAAAATAAAGTAATGAAAGACAGGTAAGAATTCTTTTTTTTTTAAAGATTTATTTATTTATTTATTTATTATGTATATAGTATTCTGTCTGCATGTATCCCTGCAGGCCAGAAGAGGGCACCTGATCTCATTATAGATGGTTGTGAGCCACCATGTGGGTGCTTGGAATTGTACTCAGGACCTCTGGAAGAGCAGCCACTGCTCTTAACCTCTGAGCCATCTCACCAGCCCTAAGGTAAGAATTCTTATAAGAATTCTCATTAAAAAAATGTGTTGTGCTGGTGGCATACATCTTTAGTCCTCCTAGCACTTTGGGGGCAGAGGCAGGTGGATCTCTGTGAGTTCAAGGCCAGCCTGGTCTACAAAGAGAGTTCTAAGACAGCCAGAGCTGTAACATAGAGAAACCCTATCTCGAAAAAAGAATCAAAACAACAAAAAAGAATGTTGTTCTAAAAGAAAAAAAAAATCGCACAGAAGATATTAAGCTAACTAGTATTCATATGGAATAAAGAATATTGAAACTCTTCAATTAAACAGTCTGTTTACTTGCCTTTATCTGATTTCCAACTCTTTTTGTTTGTTTGTTTTTTTGTATGCAAGAATGCTTTGCCTGTGTGCCACTTTTGTGTCAGAAGAGGGTTCTAGATCATCTGGAACTGGAGTTACAGATGATTGTGAGCTACCAAGTGGGTTGTGGGAATAGAACTCAGGTCCTTTGGAAGAGCTGCAAGTGCTCTTAACTGCTGAACCATCTCTCCAGTCCATGACTTCCAACTCTTAATGTGTTTAACAGGAATGATTGGAATGTCATATAATTATAAAAATGAGTATTAGAAATATCTTACCGTATACTCCTTTGTCTAAAAGTAGTAAAAATTCATCCACAGCATTACACATCTCGTATTCAGTAAGATCCAACAATGAAACAACTTTGAAATCTAGTTGCCTTAATAAGTTCGTCAGTTCATACACATCTACCAAAGGAGCTTTAAGCTTGGGGTGCTCCCAATAATTCATATTTCCTATCAAAAGGGCAACCTTGTCCTTTGCTGTAAGAAAAAAGGGTGGGGGGGGGGAGGGTGAGAATTAAAGGAGGGTAAAAAGATTAAAATTGATAGGAGTATTAAAATGAAAAACTTTGCTTTAAGACTACAGTGTTTTATTTCAAGTAAGACTATATTAATTTTCATTTTAGAGATATTACTTTACATAGGAGACTGAGAACACAACAGGCTAAAACATTAAAAAATTAAGACTAAATATGTATTCTTTGGGAACCAGACAAAGGATACTTATTAGTTATGTATGAAATATATACCAAAGTATGCTTTTATCGAATTGATTCTGTTTTACTGAGAATGAAATAAAGCAAAACAACAGCTAAAGAGGTGTAGGAAGAATTCACAGACTAGGAGAGGAGAGACAAAAGAGAGAAAAGAAGGAACTTCACAAGGGCCACATCTGTTTCTATAGTGGTTGTAGGGATGGACTATTTCCTCCTACCTCTACATTTAAACATTTTTATCATCATTATTACAGTATATATGAATGTGGGCACACATGCACAATGGTGTGTGTGTGTGTGTGTGTGTGTGTGTGTGTAGCTCAGAGGGCAACTTTTATCTTGCCTGCCCTCCTCCTTAACTTTTTAAAGATATATTTCCTGTTTGCTTGGGATAAGGCTACTTGAGGAATTTTTTTACATTACTTTTTTGACTTTGCTCAGACAGAATGAGGTGTTTTGGGGTGGGGGCAGACCAACAATATGTACTTATGCATTAAAAAGTATCAGCTAGCCTATTTAGGGATATGGCTTGGCTTGAACAGTTATGAAGTATGGGCAAAGCTTAGTGCTTAAGAGACCACACTGCATCTTTCTTGATGGTCTTGGGGTGGTGACAGTGGCAGCAGAGTGTCAAGAGGCCTATGCACTGCCCCTGTATAAGATTAGAGCACAGAGAATTATATAAAACACACAATACTTCACAGTAACCATTAAAAACTATGTTACTGGTTTATATATTTACTATATAATGCTTTTCATTGTTAAATTTTATTTTAAGAATTATAAATTTCATCATTATTATAGAGTATATGACTTCTACATATGAAAAGAAGGTTACTTCTTAACAGCATATCATGGTCTGTCAGCAGCAGCCTCACATACCTCAGCATTTTTTTTTTTTTTTTGGATTTTTTTATTTAATGTGTACTCGAGTGTTTTGTCTACATCTATGTCTGTGTACCATGTGCACGCAGTGCCCACAGATGTCACAGAGGGCATCAGAAGCCCTGGAACTGGAGTTAGATGGTTGTGAGCCACCATGTCCATGCTGGGAACTGAACTCAGGTCTTCTGGAAAAGCAGCCAGAGCTCTTATCCACTGAGCCATCTCTTCAGATCCTTCACATACCTCAGCATTTACTACATTTCTTGAATGCATTGGGGCAATACTAAGAAACTGACCTATAGGATCTAATGATGTACTTTTCAAGACATATCTCTATCATTCAGTGATATGTAACTAACTATTCGGGAAAGAATGGTTTATAGAATATAAGAGTCCAAGAATGTGAGAACGTGAAAATAATAATTGCCCAAAACTTGTAAAATTTTTTTTTTGTCAATGATGATTTTTAAAAGCTAGATTGATTATATATCCTTTTTAACGTTTACTGGTAAGGAAGATGGTGGGTCTTACCTTGACCAATCTACGTGTGAATCAGTTTCTGGTTGGCAGGAGAGCTGAAGTGGACTTAGAATAGAGAAGTAGGAACAGCATGAGACAAAATGACAAAGACCATTCTAGGAAATGGTTGTGGCAAAGAGGCTAGAGAAAGGAATAGCTGAAATTGAATTTGAGGAAATGAGAGGGATAAAGAAAACTTCAAAATGGCAAGTATATAAGCAAGTCATCATGAGTTTTAGATGATAAATTTATTATAAACCATTTACTGTAAGAGTCACCCAAAAGTTGTTGAACAAAAGCCATCTACTGGAAAAAGGACACATGGGGCTAGGCTTTCCTCAACAAAAAAAAAAAAAATGAGGACAAAGCCTACATCTCAGGTGGGCTTTGAGGTGTCATGTATGCTCAAGCCACACCCAATGTCTCAGGTCACTTCCTGTTGCCTTCTGATCAAGATGTAGCCAACAACAGGTCTGCCTGCATGACACTATGCTTTCTTCCATGATGATAATGGATTAAACCTCGGAAACTGTCATTTCAATTAAATGATTTTCTTTATAAGTTGCTATGGGTGGCCTGAGGGAGAGCTGGCCCTGCCCCTCATCAGCTGCAGCACTCAGAAGAGTGGCCCCTACACCACACCTGGGCAATACAGTGAAGCTAAGCCTGAAGGTATAGGTGTGGAAGATGCAAACTTGAGGACATAAAAGCAGGAGAATAGGCCCCGCCCCTGAAATCCCCAGGACAATGCAGGAGAGCTCACCCTGATGATGAGAATAAGGAAGAGCTAGAGAGATGATCAATTCTGCAACTATCCAGGCCCAGAACAAGGGTTGTGTTGGCCTACCACAATATCCATCCCATCTGTGATCTGTTGGAACACATGAAAGGGCTGGTCCTACAGGATTTCCACAACACAGGGCAACAGCAGGATAACCAGAGGAGGGCCCAGCATCAATAATGTAACAGAAACCAGAGGCCTTGAACCAGACCAATGACTCTCTGCAACAAACACTTGCAAGCAAACATATATGGATAAAAAGGTTTACTGTGTGATGACTCACTGTGTCATACTGCGGCTTCCATGATGAAATTGATTTTTCCTTCACTCTTTTTTTTCTCTTAAATTTTATTTTGGGGTGGCAAGGGAGAGGGTAGATACACAGGGATGGGAAATGAATGGAACTGAGATGCATGATGTGAAAGACAAAGAATAATAAATAAAAAGGAGAACAAAAAGGATCACATGGTCATGGTGTCTCTCCCCAGCAACAAAAATCCTAGGACAGCCCTGTTCTTTAACATGTCTGTTCCTGCTGCACTTTTCCCTCCAACTCAGTAAATTCAATGTCCTGACTCCTAATGTTTTGTTTATTAACCTTTCAATAGGCTTTCTCTCCCTATGCAGATTTTATCCTTTGGTTAATTCCTCCAAATCCCAACTCTTGCTTCCTCTGATGTGTACTGTTGAAACTTTCATTACTACAGAGCTTGGCACATAGAAATGGACAGATGGGCCAGTCTTCCCTGTAAAGCTGAATTCTACTGCAGAAGAACCACACAACTGATCTGTAATCTTAATTCTTGTCTTTGTGGTTGTAAGCCTTAGCCTTTAATGGCCAGGCCATCTTTCCAGCCCATATTCCTAATTTTTAGTTTTAGTTTGACTCTCCCAATAGTTTTCTACTTCCAAATGGTAGCTTTTGCTTAAGTTATAGAATCTTGGCCTCCATGCAGGTTCTATAGTCAGCCTTATTCTATTTTTTTTTCTTCAATCCTTTCAAGCAGAATTATATAGGCAAGGAAATGGTCTACTGAAAAAAAAATTAATGTCCTAACAAATCTCCTTCTCTTTTTTCTGAGACATGATTTCTCTGTATAGCTCTGGCTGTCCTGAAACTCACTCTGTTGACCAGGCTGGCCTGGAATTCATGGAGATTCACCTGTCTCTCCCTCCCTGAGCGCTGGGATTAAAGGTATGCATTACAACCTCCTAGCTAACAAGCTTCACTAATATCCTTTCTAATCTGAAAAAAAAAAAAAAGAATAAAAAAGGGGTTAAAAATTCTGATAAAAGCCAATTAGACATATTGTGACCTGACTGCTATAGATCAATATGCTTTATGAATGGCTCAGTAGACTAGTATTTAGAGAATAGAAGTACCTAGCATATTGATCTTTTTTGTTCTTTTTTAATTTTTGTTTTTTGAGACAGTATCATAATATAGCTCAGGCTAGCCTTTAATTCACTACCTAAGTATGATTTTAACATCTTGGATCTTCCTGCCTCTGCCTCTCAGAGTCTGGGATTAAAAACTAAGTTTCCAGCATGAAACCTTTTTTTTATTTTTTGGTTGTGAGCCTAGCCTTTTAACAGCTGAGCTATCCCTCTAGCCCATAAATCTGTAATATTTTTAAAGGTCTTCGTCTATAATTTATTTTACCCAAAATAAAAAAACCTGCTCCAATGTCCTTCAATCAATCAAGTACTGCAATGTCCTTCATGATAATAAAAAATTGGAGTTAAACACTAATTACATTTGATTACGTATTTCAAACTCAACTCACCCAAAGGCTGGCCAGTTGTTTGTTCTTTATTATCTGTACAAAGATAAAAGAGCAAATAGATGCCGTTATTCATGGTATATCTTCAGAGCTAATGAGATAAGGCAAGCAATGAATGCAGAAAGCAAGATACCATTAAAATGCTATTTATAGTAGAGGTCAAAGAGGCTAGAAAAAAGGAGGGGAGACAGCCAGAGGATGAACAACAGAGCACAAAAACAGAAGAAGGGAAGTAGATTTAATATTATATGGCATAATAGGCAACTATGTCTCTAACAATTATGAATTTAAGAGTAATTAAAGAGGAAGCTCCCAACACACAGACTAAAAATATCTAAGCAGATAGAAATGCTAATTACCAAACTTGATCAATATACACTGTATATATGTTTCAGCTCACAATACAGTACTTCATATAGAAGTACAAAATAGTAATTTAAAAGAAAAACTACAGAATATGGTTATTAATAGCTATTTATAATTAAAAGATTTTTGGAAAAAATATATGGGCTTATCATTATCATACATAGAATGAAATCATATTCATTTTCCAGTACCACCAGGAAGCAAAACAGGGAAAGATGAAGTTCAATTCTTTATGAGTCCAATACTTGCAGGGAGGGTAGTTTGCTTGCACATTTAATAATACAGATGCTACAAACTTCACTATACATTCATTTTCTTTAAACTCAAGGTTTGGTTTCTTTGAGTTTTGGAGAATGAGAAAAAGCAGGCCTGGAATATGTTAAGAACTTAGTGGTAGGTATATGCTAAAGTTTACTTGTTTTTCTATGCTAAAGTTTTTATAAATAATTTTACAACTTCTTAAAAGGGTAAGTAAGACATAGCAGACAAATTAGGGAAAGGGATTCTATCAACACCAAGAGAAATGATTACTAGGATGTTTTCAAACACACTTTAATTTGCAACATTTGAAGCAATTCTTTCTGAGCTTCACATGAATTTGAAGACACTACAGCAAAAGTGATCTGTTGGTCATGGTGGCTTTGCCTTGCTTAATATGCTTGCATAATTAGCAGAATCCAGACAGAACTGACAGTAACAGAGGTCTCTAAATGGAATACAAAGCTAAGCAAACTGGTGTTAGAGAAGTATCTCAGTGGTAGAGTGAGCAGCCAGTATGAACCAAACCCCTGAGCATAATCCCCATCACCATGAAACAAACAAAATGAAGCAAATTATGGTAATAAAATGAGACCAAGAGGCTTTCTACAATTATTAAATAACCTCACGCCTTCTTAATGCATTTCTGTGTGATCTGATTAACTCTGTTCATGGGTTCCATCCCTGTCTTTCAGAATGCCCACAGCTTATAATGGCATTCTCTTTTTACATAGTCCTCATTTCTGGAATGTCCTGGTCCCAAGTGATGGATGGCTTTCTCTTTAGCTTAGCTTGTTGAGAAATCTGTTGATCAAAACTTGCCTAGAGACTGCCATTGTTTGTCTCTTAGTTACAGACCAATTTATCTATTTATTGCCAACTCTCTCCTCTAACTGCCTTTCATAAGGTGAAGGCACTTGCTCAACTCCTTCGGATATGTTCTATGTCGGACAGTTTGGAAATGAAATGTGTCACTCCATCGATATGCATCTAGTCTCCCACGTTAAAAGCAATGCATTTCTTTCTATAAGGAGCAATATAGAATGATTTAAAAAAGCATCAATGTTGGGCGGTGCAGCTCAGCACAGGACATAGCATGTATAAGACACTGGGTTTGATCCCCAGCAATACACAACAACAATGAAAATTGTTAATCTTTTTACGTTTGTTTATTTTGCATGTGGGGTGCATGATGCATGTGGAGTTCAGAGGAAAACGTAAAAGAATTGGTTTTCTTCTTCCAGCATGTGGGCTCTAAGGGTCAAGCACAGGTAATCAGGTATGGCAAACGGGAATTTTCCTCATTCAGTTATATTGTATCGAAAATAGTTTTACAACCCTTATGGTCTTATAATCAATAGTATTTTCATGTTTTATTTGTTTTAAATTGAACTTCATATAAGCAGTAGTCTAAGAATGTAGGTAAGAATGTCTATAGCACCCTTACTACATCAAACTTACCAATCTAAAGTAAAACTGTTTATAATACTTACCAGGATGCCCAAAATTATTTAATTCATCTACAAATAGAATAAGAGAGAACAGGTTAACTTTAAATAATGGAGCTGCCATCATCACAAATAGTATGACTAAGAGAAGCAGTTTATGAACTGTTATATTATGTTACAGTACTTTATTAGTTTAGAACTTTTCAAAGTTAAATGGAGAAGCCACACAAATAGGGAACAGGTAAGAATACTGTTTTTACATCATTCAGGACTTCTAAACTATTTCACTTTCATTAGATTACAAACACCTAAATAAATAAACTCATTCATAATTTTTTCAAAGTTTTAGATATTTATTCACAAATGATCTTAAAAAAATAAACCTTTAACTTTAAAATATCAGGAAACTTGAACTATTATGGGCTATTGTGGAGGAGGTTCCTGTGTATTCCAAACCTAGTTTCCCTATTAACATTTTATGTTCATATATTACACATACCACAACTAATAAACCATTTATGTTTTTCCAAGACCTATTTAAGATACCAGAAGTGTCTACTGTGTTTCCTTAAGACACTCAGTTGTGATAGTTGCTCAGACATTCCTTGTTTCTAATGATCATTTCAGTTTTGAGGAGTAGAATGTTCCCCAATTGGGATTTGTGTTTTCCTTATGGTTAGGCCAAGGTATGGTGTGCTTTTGGGGGAGGCAGAACAGTTTCAGAATTAACTGCATCCTTTCATACAGGACAGATACATAACCTGAGCACAAGTCTATGACATAACAGGCATCACCAGTTTTTTACTTATTAAATTTTATGCATACAAAAATGAAGTAAGTTACAAGTGATTCAGGATTCATAAAACATTATAAGGAAATATATTCTTTGGTTTACTCGCTTGAGATGAGGTCTCAGTATGTAGTCTAGGCTGTCTTAAAATCTGAAATCTTCCTGCCTTAATCTTCCCTGTGCTGGGATTACAGCTACATCACTATAACTGGCTAAGACTGGTATTTTCATACTACATAAAATCAGTTTTACAGTGCTATCAACTAGTGCACAGTTTTTACTGTCTTTCATCTTACAGCATAGGTTAGTTTCTGGATAGATAGGTCAGAACCTTACTCCGCCTCTTCTCAGTAAGGATGTCTCATGTATTTGTAATACAGTTAGATGTTTCTGTCACATTCTACATTCCATCTTTGGTGCCTTTCTTTTGGTCTCTTAAACGACTGTTTAAAATTTGCACAGTCTCACTACCCTAAACTACAGCTGAGCCTCACCTTTTCAACTACACCCCTCGTCCTAACAATATTCTACTGAAATAGACAAAATGGAACGGGAGACATCATGTGCTCTACATTAAAATAAGATGTAATGGAGGATATTGTTCACATGTATCAACCTATCAACTATAAAAAGTTTTTCAGATTTTTGAGAGAAAGAGTTGAATCTGATGTTTCCTATTTGAAGATTTTGGAGCACCTCTAAAGCTACATTGTTATCTCTGTGTTCTAAATAGTTATTTGAAAGTTATTAATTGATTGACTGCATAGTGAACTGTACAGTTACAGAAACAGCAGGGCAGGGTAACAATCACATGTTCACTCTGAAGCCAAGCAGCACTGCTCTTTTATGTTTATTCTTACAGGTCTCTTATGTGTTAGAAGTTTAAAGAAACAAACACATGCAATTAGGCAAAAAATGTGGGAGATAAGAGAAATTTGGCTAAGATTTCTCTACATGGCTTCCCTTCTGTAAGATTAACAAGTGGGACTGGAGGTCTTTATAGTAGAGCTCTGGTTCACAGCTCTGTATTAGGATCAAAACAGTAATTATTAGTTTCATGCTACCATACAGATGAATGACAGGAAACCAGGACATGCGTGATTGAACATTACTACCTTGCTTTACCCAAGTAGAACCTAAGAAAGACCATGTAATAGTCCAAGGAAGCAGCAATTGAAAAAATACTTAGCTATCCACAACCCTAATTTTGTAAATCAATGTGACAGTATATACTAAGGTGAGATAATCTAAGTTTTGATATTTACTTATTTAAGTATAATATTCTGGTTAATTGAAACAAGTTAGGAGTTTATGCTAAAATGGATTTTCAGTTTTCTTTCCACAGTGAAAGTGGTATGTAAATTAATCTAAAACATTGTAGTTTGGAAAATCCTTATCAATATTATTTTTAGAATATTTAATATTTGATAAAAATGTATCAAATGATATATCCATCCTGAAATTTTTATAGAAATTAGGTTTGCCTTTAAAGGGCACTTTAAGAAATAAAATAATCCAAACAAATATTTATAACAGTATTTAAATATATTTTATTAGGATTAAAATTAACATCAAGGATTCCAAATATTCACTATTTCTAATAACCTCTGGAGAAGCTTTGGGCCTTACGTGCAATAGGAAATCAGCTGAAGACTGCTTTAGAAATGTCTGTTCAATAGTGTTGAAGAAAATTTACACAACTTTAAGGAGTAAGACACAGTATCCTTCAATCAAGCAATAGAGCCAGTATTTTTTCCATCACTGCACTCAGTAAGCTAGGACACTGCACCTCTCCCCAGAGTAACCAGCATGCAGGAGACCAAAGGATCACACTACCTTCGGTGCATTCCACTGCCTCATCTGTTCTTCCTTATGTTAGAGAAAACAAATTTGCAGAAATTGTCACTCGTAGTCTTAGAAAGGATAGGCACTCAGTAAACATAAACATCACAGACTTATGTTGTCAATGCAACACATTCATCAATATTTCCTATTACTGAAAACACCACTATCAATGCATTCAATGTAAACAGAACTCCAAAACCACATAATTTACAACAGGGAATACTGGCCAATAATTATTTTTTATTTACTTATCTCTGACTTTTTATGTTTTACTAAAAATCTTTTTCAACAAATCAATCTTTTTCTAACTCAGAACTACAAGGAATACATTTTGACACAAATATTTAAGATAAACTGTAATACTAAAAATAACTAAAGTGAGCCAAACAAAATAATTTTCAGTTTTCTTGTTTTGCTCTTTGTGTATAACTTAACAGAATTAATTTAGTATGAATTTTCTAAAATTTATGTATAAACATGTATAAATATGTATATTATTAAATGGCATGGAACAAAAAGTAATAGTTTCCTTTGCTTATGCACTTCAGTATATAAGCTTATATTATATCTTCTATGTCAGAACTCTATTCTGCTTACCTATGATGATTTCAACCTTCTTACTATCTTGACTGTCTCGATCATTATACACATGACACCAGTAGGTTCCTTCATGTTCTAGATCCACATACGGAACCTGTATCAATATCAGAACATATATTTTCTCTTCAACTTTAATGATAAAATGATTCTAACAGTGCAAATTTTGGTGCAGTAATATTTGAGATCTTATTCTGAAGCTTGGTTGAATTCTAGCCCTCTTGCAAATACAAAAAAACTAATTAATACTGACATAAAGAACTTGAACTAAAACTACTAAAGACATTCCAAAGAGTATGATTTAAGTGGTTCCTTTACATCTTAATTGTAGCATTAATTTCATAGAGTAATCCAGCCCTTCCACCCATTAAAAAATCAACTGCCTACCATGTAATGCTTTTTTGTCTCATGTGTTAATGGTGATTCATTTTTGAACCACTGGTAGTGAGGCATAGGGCTTCCAATAGCGACACACTGTAAAACCAATGTGCTGCCTGGCATCAGCTTTTGGGACCTTGGTTCAACACAGATTTGCAACTTGGATTCTGAGACACCATCCACACTTCCTTAAATTAAAAGAAAAATAAAATCTCTTGGTTAAACATAAAATCAAAAGTTTCCTACAATTTAAACAGAGCTGTCTATCCTTTAGTGTGGACCACTTAAAGTGTGTTTTTAAAGACCACAAATGTTAAGAGATGTTCTGAAGAGAAAATAATACCGTGGTGAACAAAAACAGTTGAGAAATTCTGGGCTAACAGCGCAGGGGGCTGGTGGTGGTTTATACTCAAGAAAGAAGTGAGGGGAGAAACTAAGCTTGAATTATAGCTGCCACATGTAAAAGGGACAGGGCTATGAATGACAGCAAGTTCAAGCTCAGCATCAGGCACAAGAATGAGAAAGGTCCCTGTCATCTTAAGGGATTGACACAGAAAATGACAATCAAACCACGTGGAGTTAACTCTTAATGACTTGTGTATGACAGTAATGCTCTGAAGTTATTTTTAAATAAACATTTAAAAAGAATAAGATGACCCAATAACCATTATGCAACTTCACTTATCACGTACCCTGGAAGCTTTCTGTTACTTCTGTGACATCACAGACATCTAGCTGTGACCACTGGCTAAATTCAAAGGTGGAACTGTTGTTAACTCGGCAGACATAAAAGCCTGCATCTTTTACTTGCACTGTGTTAAAAATAAGTTCTGATGAATTTCCATATGGGATCTGCAAAAGAATCAGTAAGAGACCATAGGTAAAGGATTCATCAAAATTTCAGCTTACAGTACATGCTGTTTAAAATGTGATTTTGTTAGGGACCTGTGAAAAGTATGTTTCTTTTTTTTCTCCAAGTTCTAAAATGTGCTAGTTACAAAGTAAAAAGTAAGATTTTGAGGGCTGGAGTATTAGAAATGCAGTCTTTAACAAAGCCATTTAGCAGACAGGTTAGCTGTCCCCAGATCTTGTAGGGGCTCACTACTAGGAACCTTTCTATTTGCTCATTAAAACAGTACACTTACACTTACTTATACAACCGCCACTTTATAAGTAGCATATAATGCAGTAAACAGCACAGTGGCATGAAAGAAACAAAATGGCTATTCTTTTCATTTCTGATCAAATAGCTATGAATATGTGGATAAACTATTTTATCTCGGGACGTCAGTATCTCACCTATGAAACACTGTAAGAAGACAGGCTGCTTAACAAAACCTCAAGTTTTTGGCTTTGTGGAAGTATAGAAGTGAGAGGAGGTAATAGCCATAGCAGGTTTCATTCACTTTGGTCAGAACTTGAAGCAACAGTGTTCTATTCATGCTAATCTCAGTGCAGAATAAATCTATGATAAATTCTCTCAGTTTTATGCTCATAAAGATTTTTTTTTGAGGCAGTGTTTTTCTGTGGCTTTGGAGGAAGAAGACTTTTATGATTATATGAACAAACAACACAAAACTTCCCTAGCCTACCCTTGTTCTTCTAGAACCATTTTTTGAGTATGTTATTTTGAGACAGGATCTTACAATGTAGCCCTGCCACCCTTGAACTCATAAAGATCCACCTGCCTCTCTGCCCCCAACTACTGGAATCAAAGGCATGAGCCAATCATCTACAATCTCTTGTTTTTTTATGAAGAAACACACTTGATTCTTCTCATAGTTTCTCATAAGTTAGACATAAGCCTCTAATATTAACGATTTGGCAAACTGCTTAATTTGTAGGTTTCTCCATGCATATAGTTTTGTACACTTACTGCATGTGTGTATGTACACAATTCATGTACAATGGTCAGAGGACAACTTTTGGGAATTGGTCTTTGATTTGATTACTTGAGTTCTTGGGCTGAAACTCAAATCATCAATCTTGTCAGCAAGAGTCTTTTCCCGATGAGCCAACTTGTAGACCCATACTTTTCCTTCTGCTAATCTATTTAATTATCTATCTATTTATATACTGAGACAAAGTCTCTCTACATAACTCTGGCTATCCTGGAATTCATATGTAGACCAGAATGGCCTCCAACTCAGAGATCTACATGCTTTTGCCTCTGGAGAGCTGGGATTAAAGGCGTGTGCCACCATGCCTGGCTCCCATTTTTTTTTTTTAATTTAAAGATACATTTTATTTCACTGTTAAGTGTGTTTGCCTATAGCTGTGTATGTGCATTATAAGCATGCAGTGCCTGCAGAGGCCAGAAGAGGCTGTCAGATCTCCTGGAACTGAGTTACAGACGGTTGTAACCTGTCAAGTTAGTGCTAGAAACTGTACCTGGGTCCTCAGGAAGAACAGAGGGCTCTTAACTGCTGAGTCACTCTTCCAGACTCTGCTAATCCATCTTATCTGCTGTGTGTGTGTGTGTGTGTTTGTGTGTGTGTGTGTGCTAAGTACAGAATCTAAGAGGGAAAAGTTTTTTCTCAATAATCCCATCTACCCTGAAATTGTTCTCATATATACATATATATATATTTTTTCTTTTCTTGGCTTTAGCATGTGCTTCTTTCCTTTACTAAACCATTTTCACAAACATACTCTAAATCCTTTGTATCACACATCAGCCCACAAATATTCTTTTGTTTACATCCTCTACTGTAGAATCTGGTCACCCTTTCTTCTCGAAACACTTTGCTATTTTAATCTTCTAACACTTTTGACTGCTCCATCTTTTAATTTCTTTTATTCATTATAAACTTTCACCGTTGTCTCTGTGGATAGCCAAACTGCCCATGTGATTCACTTGCATATATAACAGGAATGGTCTAAAGTCACACTCTTAATTTCCCTCCTAGACATAGATGTTTCTAGTCTTCCTAAACAAAACCAACAACAACAACAGAAACCCAAACCCAAACCCAAAACACTACAGAGTAAACATGGCCGATCTTGTTTTCGAAGAGGAAAAGCTAGGGAGTCCTCCCTGAGTTCTCTTTTTGCTTCTTTTGCTTCTTCTTGCCCCACATGACTAAAATGATTAACACTATATGAATGACCTGGAAGAACCACCAGATGTAGAATTCAAAGATTATAATTATGTTCAAACAACTCAGAGAAGATATGAATATATTTTAGAAGAGTAAAAACAAAAATCTGAGTGAAATGAGGAAGTTCAAGAAAAGGGTAGACTTGCTTTAGAAAACCCAAACTGAAATCATGCCGAAAATGAAGAACTCAATAAGCCAAATAAAATCCTCAGTGGAAAGCTTCACCAGTAGAATGGATCATGAAGAAAACAAAGTGTCACAGATGGAAGACTTGTATTACTCAATAAAGGTCAATAATAGACTTAAAAACAAATGCCCATTCAGGTGTAAAAGGCCTACAAAATACAAATAGAGAAGACCAGGCAAGAAAATCTCCATGACATAAGTATAGTTAAAATACTAAAAATACAGACTAAAGAAAAGGATTTGAAAGCTGCAAGATAGAAGGGTCAGTCACTTAAAAAGGCAGGTCCATCAAAATAATACCTGGGTTGTTCATTAAAAACTTTTATAGCCAGAAGTACCTGGAAAGATGTATTTCAAATTCTGAAAGACCCCAATTGCCAACTCAGACTATTATACCCAACACAACTACCTATTAAAATTACTAGAAAACAGAAACTTTTTACAATAATGACAAATAAATTTATGGCCATTAAGCCAGTTCTACAAAGGGTACTAGAAGGAATACTTTGAACTTAAAAGAAGGATAAACATAGTCCAGGGGCCACAGTAAATAAACACTACCAAACAAACATAAAGAGGCATAATGGATAGGGAAATGAAAGGTGGTGGAAGGCCTAACAAAAATGAGGGGTGCATGAAAAAGCTATATGGAAATGAATGAACTTCCCATCTCCCCTACTGGCTACGCAGCTTTTTTCCATGTTTGGAATGGAGGGGACATTGGAATTTTCATTTAATAACATGCCTTCTAGGAGTGGCTTTACCTACCCACATTAGTGAAATAATAAATTAGTGGTACGGTGGCTCACACTTTAATCCCAGCACTCAGGAATTGAGGCAGCAGTATTACTACAAATTCAAGACCTATCTGGTTTCCACAGTGAGTTTCAGGCCAGTTTGGGCTACAGAAGATCTTGCCTCCAACCAACCAACCAACCAACCAACCAACCAACCAACCAACCAACCAAAGTGGAATTAAAAGACATTTAAAAATTACCTCCTTATTCATTTTGAACCATTGATATTGTACAAAAGGATGTCCAGTTGCCCGGCAACACAGTTTTACAAACTGTCCAGCTAAAACTGCTTTTGATTCTGGGTTTACAGTGATCTTTAAACCTAAAACAACAACAACAAAAAGGTAAAGTCACAAAAGATGGTTTTTCTTGCTTAGACACACAAAACAACAAAGAAATATTCATCTTTGTCATAAAACAGGCATTTATTTCTCCTCTGTAAGTATGCATTCTTCAGCTAAAAACTTTGTGTAAACACACACACACACACACACACACACACAAAATCTGCAAAAGTCTCTGATATACTCTATTTCTCTATGGTTGGGAAGGGAAATTGTTTGCCACGTTTCCCTAATTTTTAGAAACAACACTTCCAAGATCAGGATGCACCTTTTAAGACACCTGCTAGGCAGACATTACACTGCAGTTCTCAATGCCAGCACATACAAATACCTGGTCATCAATGTTCATATGGCCGGCACTTCAACTGAGTTAGTTGCACAAGTAATGTGAGAGCTAGTTTTTCTCAACTTGATTCCAACTAGAGACACGTGAGAAGCTGAGCTGGTGCATAACTAGAAGCTTCACTCCTACTGACTAGTGTTTATGGTACTGAAAGGTACTCTGCACACTACTGAAGGAGAAAGACAATCTTCAACATCTCCCAGCTACAAACAGTGCAGCACACAACAGAGCAATTGTGGCACAGATGTCATGGGAGTGACCAAGCACTTTTGATTGGATTTAATGCCCATTCCATGAGATAGAACCCATACCCAACACCACTAAAATGAACTGGAACCTGAAACTAGATAGGTCATGGGCCAACGGGGAAACCTACTACTACCATTCTGCAAAAAGAACAGCAATAAAATGGCCCCTAGTGACATACTGCTATATACATATATCAGAATATTGCTCAACCTTCATCAGAGAAGCTTCTTGCAGTAGAGGAAAATTAACACAAAAAACCATGAGTGGATAATGGGAAGAGTGAGAGACTCTGGAGCACTCAGTCTTAAATGTCACAAAGTCCTTCCCAAGGCCCAGGGATCTATGCAAAAGAATAGGTAGAAAGACTGTAAGAGTAGGGGATGGTGGACAGCTCCAAGGAAACAGTGTCTTCTAGATACAGAAGGGGAAGTGGGCACAGAGGCCCACCCCTAACCAACAAGCTATTTGTAATTGATGCCCACTGGCTAAGAGAAAATCAGTTTTCAACAATGGAGTATATTATGTATATACTAGGTATATCAACTACTTTCCAGGGAAGTCTCCATGTCCAGGAGTAGTTGGCCAGAAGTGTGTGTGTGTGTGTGTGTGTGTGTGTTGGACTTTTTGTTTCATTTTTTTTGGTCTTATTTGTTGTTTGTTTTGAGTTTTGCTTTTTGTTTTGTGGTTTATTGTTGGAGAGGAAGAAAACATGGAGTTGCATGGGTAGCTCCAGAGGTAAAGTAGAACTTGGGAGGAGTTGGGGGGGGTATATGATCAAAATATATTTTATAAAAAATCTGTTTAAATTTTTGTTATTATTATTTTTATGTGTATGTAAATATGATACATGTGAGTATGGTGAGTATACATGTGTGTGTGCAGGTGTATGTACCTGTGATGAATACCAGGGACATCAAAACTAGGAGCAGTTTAACAAATAATTCAAGGAAGACCAGATCTAGAGCAAAGTAGTTAACCCATGTGCTGTGGAAAAGTCCAATGAGAGAGCCAGCAGAAGGGGGACACCTCATTCCTAGGGTACAAGAATTTAGGAGCATATATTTCAGGATGAAACCAAACTTATCTTCAACTTCATGTGAGTGGCCACTGGAAGTGACTCCCTGCTCTGCTTTGGCTACTTTCAGCTTTCAGAACAAATGTGAAGGAATCTCAGTTAGCCTTTTAAAAGACAAGGGCCTCTATACTGCAGTTATCTTTCTCTTAAGAGCTGTCTCTGGCTGCAGTTGCCTAACAATGGCAAAATCATATTAAAGTTCTTTCTTGAGTCATAATGAATCATTTGGAGCTGAAAGGTCTGGTAAGATGCCATGGCATCTTCTACAGAACACATCTTACCCTAATCACACCTCCCTGCAAGGACTGTCAGAGAAAAACGGCTTTCTGTGGAAAAAGAACTAATGCTTCCTGTGAAATGGCATCAAGTACAAAAGAGACAACACCAGTGCACTCTGCATCTTCACTAAAAAGGAAAACTGGAGATCAGATAAACTTACATTTATATATTAAACTTTTTTTTTTTTTGAGAGGGTCTCACTATGTAGCTCCAGCTGTCCTAGAACTCACTATGTAGACAAGGCTAGCTCTGAACTCAGGAATTCACCTGCCTCTACTTCCCAAGTTCTAAGAAAAATAATTGATTAATTATAATTATAATTGTTTTTTTATAGTTGTTCTAGTTTTGGTATCTGCCTGCCATACTGACTTTTTAATAGGCATAAACGATGGCCTTGTTCACCTCTGAATTCATATACCTTTAATGCCTGAAACTGTGAAGGTAATGGAATATAAGAAGTGCTCAAAGCAAAGTCACAAACTAAACTGATTTTTGTCAGAGCTTACATTTTTCTTATGATAGTCTTATTCTAAAACTTCTTATTAAGACATAAAAGATACTTTCTATAATTATGTTTTGTTTGTTTGGGAAAGAGTATCACTCTGAAACTAAAGCTCGCCTGGTTTCACTATGTAGTAACTCAGGGTACTCTTCTAACTTCAGCTCTCTGACTGCTGGATTACAGGCATGAGCTTCCATTCTATATGATTCCTGAAACTCTGTGAGGCATAAAATACCCCATTCACTGTGTAAGTAACACCACCTATAGTCAGAGTGATTATATCATTGGAAAAGAGTAAACTGCAAGTTATATTTACTTCCCAGAAAGGCTTAAATTTCTAGAAGCTTTGGTGCTCTATAAAGCATGAGAAATTAGTAGCTATTACAGTGCAGTAGGCTATTGGATTTCAGTCCTTACAACTGCTGGCTATCTACTGTTTGAAGCACAGAGTACATAAAAAAAATTTTTAAATGCTCCTTTAGGACATTCATTGTTTAGAGATGGGCAATAATTACATGCAGCATCTGCATTAGTTTATAGGTCCTAGTTGAAGAAGCCAAGCATTCAATACAGTGCACCTCCAAAGGAGGCATGAAAGGGTATAAGAGGATGGCTGGGAATCCATCTGGTTATATCTCCAGGGTCTGTTGCTTTTTACTTATCCAACAAGTCTGTTTTTGTTTGGTGATCCGTGTGGCTCTTGGAAAGCTGACTCAGCTTAACTCCATTCTTGGCTTTAAGCCAGGCATATCAACACATTCCATGTCCTTGGCTACAGTGACAGTATTAGGGACAAGCAAGTGAACAAAACTAGTTAACTAGAATAAACCTGCTTTTTGCTTAGCATTCTGCAACAAAGATAAATAAGCCCAAGAACACCCAGCAGACATCCTGGGCTAGGTGAATGTCAGATTTAAAAGGAAGTCAATGCCAAGAGAGAAGAGGGAAAACAGCACAGTTAGAGCTCTTCTTTGCCTCTAAGAAATATTTTACCTTTATCAATTTGAGTTTGGGTATCTGGTAGATTTAACTGACAATTTACCACTGTATCTTATTTTCTGAATTTTCTCATATTAAAAATATATCATAGGGGCTGGAGAGATGGCTCAGTGGCTAAGAGTGTTTAGTGCTCTTACAGAGGACACAGGTTCAATTCCCAGCACTCACCACCAAGTAGTTCATAAGTACCTATAACTTCCATTCCACGGGATCCTATGCCCTCTGGTCTAGGAGTAACTGCACGAATGTGGTGAATATAAACTTATGCAGGCATAAACACATATCCATAAATAATTTAAAAAATACACCATAATCAATATGGTTATATAAAGAAACATTAACATCTTCTGGGCTTGACTGGATTATTTGCTTCTAATGGGACATATGGCCAAATGGAATCCTGGAAAGGAGGCTTGCACAGTGGCTGCCACCAGCAACATTTGTTTACCTGAAACAGGATCTGACTATGTAGTCCAGGCTGGCCTGGAACTCTTAAGCTTCCTTTTAGCCTCTATAATACTGGGAATTCAGACATGGACTACCATAGATGGCCCATCAAGCAACTTTGATGAAATGTCCTCCCTCTCTTATAATCACTGTAGCTGATCAACTCCACCTGCAGCTACATGGAGGACAGATTGTTTTCTGTTTATTTAAATAGCCATCTCTCCAGCCTGTTTGCTATTTGTTTTAATTTTATATTTTATTTTTTATTTATGTGTGTTTTCGCCTCTGTGTATATGCAGGTGAGTGTAGGTAATGTCAAAAGTCAAAAGAAGACACCAGATCCTCTGGACCTGGTATTACAGGCAGTTGTGAGTTGTCTGATGTGGGTGCAGGGAACCATGCTTGGGTCCTATGGAAGAAGAGTAAGTGCTCTTAACTAATGAGCCATCTTCCCAGCCCCTTGCTTCCTATTCTCCTCATGACTTTGCATATGAAAAGCTTCACTTAATACAGGCATAATAAGAAAATTTATATGACTAACATTTCAAAAGTACAAAAATGGCAAAACACAGTGAACATCTGTTTTACTCACCAGTATATACACATATGTACACTGTGTTTTGGGCTACACTATTTCAGTGCATGGTATAGAAACCTTACGTGTAAATTCTTTAGCATGCATCTTCCCAGAATATGGACTACTGGACTACAATATTATGGCATAAGTCTCTAATATCAATTATGTGGACAACATTCAAATTTTTAAAATAATTGCTTTAAAATGTCTTGTATAGCTTGCTTCTTGAACTATAATCCAATACTTTTGATGTCTTCTTTGGTCTCAAAATGGGGGAGGGAGAATGAGGCTCTAGGAATTTAAATTTTCCAAAAATACTGAACACAATTTGCCTGGTCAAAAGATGTATTTTTCTCTAAATTTGACTCCATGAATTTCTGAAGAACATTCCTGAGGGGGGGGGACACACACACAACCAAACAAAAACAATCCCACCTACCTGGGGGGTTGAGAAGCTGAAGAACCTCAGTGTGTTCCAAAGCCTGTAGGATGTCGTTCAATTCTGAGACTGTACATCCTTTTTCACCCATTAGTTTTAGTAAACAAAAACTTGGGCTTCCCTCTGGCTCCAATACCTTAAGAGAACACTGCTCCAGGTCCAGGCAACTGAAACAACAGATGTAATTCATGATATACCTAATATGTAGCTAGACCATTATAGGTGCTGTACAGAAAAAAGCCTTGGGTGGTAGGAAACTAATTACATTATGAAAACTAGGGCCCTTCCATCCTCCTTTCCCACCTCCAGCCTTCCTCCCTCTTCTCCAGTCTCTTCTCCCCTTGCTCCTTTAATTAAATCAGAAGGGTGTGAGAGACATTTAGTCTTGATGCTATGCAAACTTTTATCCTTTAATTGAAGAGTGGAAAAGACCAGAAAGTTTCTCTGCCCTATTTAATTAATTACTCACTTAGACAGGGTTTTACTATGTGTTCTGGCAGGCCTGGAACTTGCTACAAAGGCCAGCTGGCCGTTAGAGAGCTACCCATCTTTGCTTCCCAAGTGCTGAATGCTAGGGCATCACACCAGGTTTCTTTACTCTTTCTTTCTTCTTTTTACTCTCCCCCCCCCCTCTCTCTGTGTGTGTGTGTGTTTTAACAAAGAAAATATTTTTATTTGTGTATCAAAGACTTTATGGTTAACAGTTGCTGTCAAGACCAAGACACAAAAGATTAAAAAGCTATAGATGATAACCACTATTGGATTCAACCTACCTTGGTTATTTTAGACAACATTTCTGATACACTTCCAGCTGAATGATATGTGTTCATATAACAGAATTACAGTTCCCTTAACTCTTTCTTTAAAGATGAAGTGGAATATGACCCAAAATGAAGGAACTAACTAGTTGGCAATATGCTGCTATCAACTAAGAGGAATATGCCCCTCATCCCATGAGGCCAAAATTCCTTAAATCATAGCATGAACATATAAATAGTGTGAGAAGTGTTAAGAACAGAGAAGCTTATGCCTCAAAAATGATAATGGATAGATAATCAATATTATAAAGTTAGCAACTGGAAAAGGCATTAAGAAGCCCTTGCTAAAGATCATATATTAGAAATAAATTACTAAGTTTTCAAATGAATAGGAGATTAATAAATACATGAGTACAGTATAAAAATACATGTTTCATGATTCACAAGTTTGCCAGGCTCTGAGACATGACATTACATCAGATACAACTAGGATTTTTAACCAATATAGAAAAAGCTCAATAGACAGAGTTTTCCTTCCTAACAAAGAACAAAGATCAAACTGAAGTTAAATATTTCTGTTCCAAAACAAGGTATAAAGATAAAAGTAAGATTTTGTTTATCTTTTTGTTTTACTGTTTTTCTGCATAGGCATTCACTGGCTTTTGGCTTAGGTGATATGTATACATACCCAACTTTCATCTTTCCTTTTCTAGTTATATTCTTGTAACAGTGTACTTTGATGTGGCTTCTGTAAACTTGAATTTGGTAAAGAACTTCTTTATCACCAAAGCAGATGAACTCTGCTTTAAAAAATTACTTTTAGGTGCTAGAGAAATGGCTCAGTGGTAAAGAGAACTCACTGCTCTTCTAGAGATCTGAGTCCAGTTCCTAGCACACACATCAGTCACATGGCTTATAACCACCTGTAACTCTAGCTCTGGAGACATTATTTTCACTTCGGAATAGAAAAGCAAATGGATGGTTGAGTTAGGAACAAGCCTAACTCAAGATTTTTTTTTTTTTAAAAAAATTTATTGTTTTAGGGTCAGGGTGGTCTCAGGCTTAAATGCCTTTTGCCTTTTCCTTCCAAATGCTAGAAACACAGGCATTTACTACAGTGTCTCGTTTATGTGGTCCTGGGATGGAACCATATATATTAGGCAAACATTCTACCAAGTGAGCTACAGCCCCAACTTGATTCAATATTTTGAAAGAAGCATTCTTATGTTGCATTAGAACAGGCTGGAATGGGAAATTAAGAGAGGGAGAGGGAGAGATCAAGCAAGTACTAGAAGAAACTGGATAAGATATGGGGCCTTAGCCTAATGTGGCAGTAGGTGCTGGATTTTAAATATATACTGAACATATAACAGGCAGGATTTACTGACAAAAAAATGATATGTACACAAGTAAAGTCAGGAATGACTGGAGTTTTTAGTCTGAACAACTGGAGAGATGTAGTAGTCACTCAGATACAGAGAAATAAGGGCAAGAGGTTTACATATATGACAGTACATATTAAGTTTTGGACATGTTACATTTAAGACACCTACTAGTCATTTAAGAGGAGTGAGCAATAGCAGTATACATACATACATACATCTGGGAAAAGCAGATATAGTGGCTGTAATCAACTTGACTGTATTTAAAACCATGAGTGAAGGATAATATCAGGAGATTATGCAGAAAAACATTGAGAGATAGAAGCATGAGTTGTAGTGCCCTTCGAAATTCAGACTGATGAGACAGATGATGAGGGACATCTGCATTAATCTTTTAAAGACATGCTTTCATTTTTACCACAATCTGCTTGAGGGTAAGATTTTTGTAGTGTCTTCTGCACTGCAGACAACAGCAACAGATGTTTCCCCTTGGTTCATGCTTCACAATCCTACTTTCAAGCACTCTGCTTAGACAATTTAGGTATTTTAAAGCATTCTAAAAGTTCTGCCAATCCTTGGAGTTCAGCAGTACCATGCACCATTAATCAACATATGTTGGCACACTAACAATATGTCTAAACCAGCAGCAAGACATCTGATTTTAGCCAACACAGTGGTGCATACCTTTAATCCCAACACCGAGAGGCAGAGGAGGCTCTCTCTGTGTCCAAGGCTAGGTCATTCTACATAGCAAGTTCCAGGTCAGTCAGGGCTATAGCGATCCTTCCTTAAAGTGTCTGATGTTAGATGGGTTAGAGAAGAATGAGGGTTTGAATGCAGGGTCTCTGGTTATAGCAAACTAGACCATACGCAAAGATTCAACTTAAATCATCAATAATCACCTGAAAATATTTCTGGAGACAGTTCTAAATGGACTCTTCCTGTGACTTATATTATTAAATTCTCATGTAACTTAAATAAATATGTAAAGAGTGAGGGAGAAATGTGACAACAGGCCGAGCATGGTGGTGCTCAGAAAGCAGAGGCAGGAGGATCATGGCAAGTTGGAGGCCAGCCTAGTTTATGTAGACAGACCTCATCTCAAACCAAATCAAAGCAACAGAGAGAGAGAGAGAGAGAGAGAGAGAGAGAGAGAGAGAGAGAGAGAGAGAGAGAGAGAAGAAAAATAAATCAAAAAGGAAAATTTCTGAGATTAGGGTTGTGAATCCAATGAAATTCATATTTTCCCAGGACTTGTTATATACCTTGGATCAAACTGTGCAATCAAAGGAAACACCTTTGTGACCTTTTATCATTAGATGTTCTTCTAGAGCCACATGAAATCACTTTTAAAAACTTTTAACTTTTGTTACTGTTTGTGAGACAGCATCTTAATTATTTATGTAGCACTAGCAGGCCCAGAACTCACACTGATCCTCCTGCCTATGCTTCCTGAGTACACCACCATGCCTGGCTTTCAGTACTAACTTTTAATAGCAATCAATTCTCATGATGTCACTGGTGTGAGTTTATTACTTCCTGATTCTCCAACCCTCTCCACCCCAATCAACCTACATGGAGCTATCTAACCACCATCTTGGACGTCTCATGAAACTTACCTGACTCTTACAGGAATCAACCTAGAATTCTAAGACTCTAAAAAATGAACAATAAGTAACTGGCTTTCTCTCTATACTAACTCCTTGTAAAGTGTCTTTCAACTTTTCCCTAAGTACCCCCCTACAATGATCAGCACCATCCCGAAGTTTACCTAGTAGTATTTTACTGAAGGCTTGGGAAGAAAAACTTAAAACCCAACATTAAGTACTCAGTCCTTTTATAGTTCAATAGCCATTTGTCTTTTAGGCAGAGCTTAGTACACTGACCTTTGTGCCTTCCTCCATCACTATGCAGGCTCTCTCCAGGAAGCCTAGATAGAGCCTTTCTTAACTGGATTCAGTTAACACCATAACACCCTGCAGGTCTGCCCTCAAAGGAAACAATTTCTTCTATTAGGTGAGTCTAGAAGTTGAGGAGTTTATGAAGCTTGTATACACCCAAAGCCCAATGTATTTTTTTCTCCTAGGACAGAACGCATATCCTCTGTCTGCTCAACTTTTCTAGCTCATTGTTTGTCTGACTTTTTCTTGAGACAGGGCCTCATATGCCTGATCTGGTCTTGAACTCCTTGATCCTCTTACCTCTATCTCCTATGTGCTAGGATTATAAGTATGTGTCACCAGGTCTGGCTTAGTTTGCTATTTTTTTTATTTTTTTATTTTAAAATCAGGCAACATAGGTCTCTTCTACTTGAGCAACAATCCCTTACCAATATTACTCTTTGCCTCAATCCTAAACTCTGAAGCTCAGGGTTGCTGTGAAGGTTTAGGCGGACAATGTATGTGAACAGTACACTGGAATATACTATGTGTTCAAAAAAAAATGGTATTATTTACACCCAACCTAGCCATTTCATGTTACTGTGAATGTTCCTGAAAAGCAGTCTATTAGAACTTCCAGCTAATAAGAAGCACTCAATAAATACAATTTTGAATAAAGGACTCCCCTCTCAATTTAAGAAGTATTTGTCTAAGAGAAGTTCTATGTATAGCACAAAATAAGAAATGACTTCTGCTCCTCAGCTTATAAAGATTATAAAAATTACAGTAAAAGTCAAAGTTTATAGTTATTTGACAAGAAACTGGAGGAGTTAAAAGGCTGGAACCTTGGCGAGGGTATAAAGCAGTGGTTCAAAGTTCCATTTGGGAACCCCCAGTGCAGTTCCTGAGACCACTTTCAGGTGGCTCTCAAGGTTAAAGCTTTTTTTTTTCTTACTAGTACTGTCACTATTTTCTTTTATTCTTAAAGATTTCTAAGTTCTGATACTTATGATACTGCAAAGGAATGAATCGAATAATAATAATAATAAAAGAATTTAGCTCTACAACTAAGCTAAGTCACCATAAAGATGTTAAAAACACTCAGCAGTTTGAGGCAAGAAGAATGCTACAAGATATAGACTAGACTGCTTGATATGGTGTTCTAGGACTCCTCAGGCTACAGTGCGATCCTGTCTCAAAAAACAAGAAGAAGATGAAGAAGAAAAAAGACTTCAAGATGAGTATTTTGGTGCCAGCTTGGGATCCCAGCTTTGGGGGCACTGAAACAGGACAGAGAAATCTGTGGACAGGTTAAGCTACATAGAAAGATCTTATTTAAAACAATTAAAAACCAGCCCCCCCCCAAAGCAACAGACTTTAAAAATGTTAATCGATGCTCGTTTTGTTTTTGTACAAACCTTTTCTGAAGGGAAAAACAAACAAACAAAAACAACCAACCAACCACACAAACAAACAAAAAAAACCCTACATCGTCTCTGCTACCACGTTAAAATTTACTTAAGGCCAGTATTTTAAGAGTTACTGGCTTTACGTTCAAGTAATAAATATTTACATACACCTGCAAAAGATAGAGAACCCCCACAAAAGCTATTTGTAGTCTTTAATAATTTGTAGTCTTTAATAACTCAGGAGCGTGAGAGTATTGAGATGCAAACTTTAAGAATCACTGACTGAAGTCCCTTTTCTCAGCAGGAAAGCAGTTTAATTTCTTTGGTGAGCTCATAGGACTGAAGACGACGGTGCATTTGGTCCGGTCTTTTCCCTCCTTCTGTCCCTCTACCTGGCCACCTGCAAGCTTCACTCCTCTATCCGCCCGGGTCCCACCAGATTGCCCTTTGGGTTCCGAGGGCTGTATCCACATCCATCCCTCTCTTTTGCTTTAAAACCCAGTGGATTACAACCCTGCAGACAAACTTTCCTCCTCTCAACACAACCCGGGTCAATTCCCAGCGATCGCTTTCCAGCTCGGGGGCGGAGGATCGGTGTGAAGGGGCCGCCTGGCCGTCAGGGTCAGTCCCTTCCCGATCCCGGGGCTCTTGTCGGTCTCGCGCGACTCCCTGCCCGGGGGCACACCCCTCCACCCAAGGGTCCCGGCTCACCTGAGCCGGAGTCGCCCCCGACTGCCGGCCAGTTCAGCCAGCTGCCTCCAGCCCCGGCCCTCGGGTGCCCGGTCCAAGCTCTCGCTGAGTCTCCGCAGCAGCGGCTCCGGCAAGCGGTTGAGGGTTGCACCGGCTGGAGGGGCGCTCGGAGGCCCGGAGGGCGCGGTCGGGGTCGGCTGCACAGCCGGGGGCAGCGAGGCCTGCAGCGGCTGTCCCCACAGCGACATGGCTACGCTGGTGGCCCCGACTGCCCTGCTCCAGCCGGTCACCTCGGGCTTCGGCGCCCGCGCACTTTCCGCTTGCCCCTCGCCGTCCCGGGAGCCACAGGAGCGGAAGGAGAAGTCGGCCGCACAGCGGGGCCCTCACAGGAAGAAGCACTGGTCCGGGACCGCGCGACAGGTTCCCCTGTGAAGGCGCCGGGCGCGCCAGCCGAAGAGAGGGGCGGGCTTAGGGGGCGGGGCCTGGCTGCGCGCGTGTGTGTGGGCGGGGATTGGGTGGGGCCTCGTTGCTATATGAGGGCGGCCTCCTCCAATTGCAGGGAGAGACGGGCTCGGGGGCGGGGCATGGGGTGGGGCCGGTTCGTTAGTGGCAACCTCACCTGCAGTGACGGGGGCGGGATGGGGGGCGGGGCCTGGCTGCGGGGTGTGCGACCCATCGCCTCCGCCTCTTTGGACCGGGCGGGGTGTGGGCGTGGCGTGCGGCCGCACCTCCTCTGCCGCTTCTGACTGCGGAGCAGGAAGGGATGGGTGGGTATAGCTCTTGGAGGAAGCGGTGGAGAACTGCCACAGCTAGGAAGCCTGTGGCGTAGGAGCTTCCCGGGACCGTGGGAGGATGCTTACCTCACCCCGGAGAGGGTAGCACGCGCTTCCTGGAGGCGCCCCCCCCCACGCGCGCGTCTGCTCTCAGAGGACCCCAGGGCTTGCGTATGTGCGGTGTTGGCCCAGAAGCCTCCAGCTCACCACATTGGGCAACCTCAACAGATGATTCCTCTGCAAGCGGATGGTGTTGCTAGAGGGAAGTAGTGGAATTGGAGATTCAGATACTCATAAGGGAATCGACCCAACTCTTTTCAAGATTGAGTTACTTATCTGTGGATTCAGAGTTGCAGTGTGGTTGTAGGGCTCAGCTCTTGCATGTCTGAAGCTTTGGGTTCATCCTCAGCTCCGCAAAAGCAAGCAAGCAAAACCCAAATATTTAGGTCCTGGAAACAGTTGATTTTAGCAGTAATGGTGTGGTGTCCTTCGGATCAAACTGTCGTTCACTGTATTCATATTCCAAGCAGTTCCCCTGAACAAGCTAGAGTCTAGATCACAGGTGATTTACATCATTCAGGGGAACTGCTTGGAATACAAACACAGACTAGATTCTAGATGAAGCGACAGGAGGTACACTTGAACTCTTGCCTAGTCTCATCCACAGCAAAGGCTGTTATCCCATTGGGAACTAGGCTTGCTGACATAGGAACAAACAGCTTATGGTGACCCGTCAGGTAGCTCTGAGATGCAAGTCTTCCTGGCCCAATTTATCACTCCTTTAGCTTTTCATTACTCCCTGCAGCAGTAATTTGAATAACCAGATTCTCAGAGTTGTTGGCAGGGTGGGTGTTTTACATACATATTGCACCACATTCTAGTACAGCCAGTCACTGAGTTTGCTATGACCTTAGTATGCTGATTTCTGTCTCTCGCCTGTTAAAATGGGACTCAATTGTAATATATAGAGTTCTTGCCAGGATGAAAATATTTGATGCTGATAAAACACTCAGTACAATGATACTCACCTTTTTTCCCTTAACAGCACAAAGAAGGCCTGTTTCACATTCAAGTTGAATTAGAAAGCTCTCCCCATCTTTTCTAGTGTCTATGTTTTCCTCAGTCATTGGACATATAGTTTTCTTTTACCTATGTGTGCTGGTTATGGGCATTAAAGTGTTCTAGGTGTATGTGTGCACGTGTGTTTGGGGGCCTTATGTAGTCCAAGCTGGCCCTAAACTTATCCCTGTCTTCACCTCCTGAGAGCTGGGATTAGAGGTATTCACCAATTGCACAGTTCTATGCAGAACTAGTTATGGAATCCAAGGCCTGACATATGTTAGGCAAGCACTCTATCAGCTATGTTACATCACCAGTCCTAAGTTCTAATCTATTCTCATTCTACATTTTAATTTAAATTCAATTAAATTTTAATTCAATAATTTTATTTCCCCTTACAAACCTACTTGTGAAAGTCATTGCTTGTGGCGATTCTCCCATGTGAAAGGATCATAAATGTATACTTACACTGTTTACCCTGTGGGTGTACTTTCTGTTTTCAGCCTGTGCTTCCTTACTCAGTGTAGCTTAGCTAGATACCATAGTGGTTCTCTTCCCATTCCCCTACTTTCGAAGTGCCTTTTTCACTTCATCCACCTCCTAAAAGTTTTTCCTACCCAGCTGTTTTAGAATCTATACAGCCACCTTTCCCACTACTCTCCATTGGGTACTTTGATACATTACATTTTATGGTTGGTATATTTCTCCTCTTAATAAAATGCCCTATTTCTACTACCTAATTTTCACTTATCTTCTGAGGCATAAGTGACTTTTAAAGTTAGCTGTGAGTTCAAATCTTGATGCTGTCACTTGTCACTGATACCCTCTTTGGTGAATTATTGAGCCTGTCTGAGCTTCAGGTCTGTGCCTGTAAAAGGCAGAAGATAATAGTACCTATCAATATAATTATTGGGGAAAGTAGGCACAGCATATCCATTGCTTAAGGACGGGAGTACATTCTGAGCTATGCATCAAGAGGTGACTTTTGTCGTGTGAACCCAGTCTCATGGGACAGCAGGTGCAGTCTGTTGTTATTCTGGTTTGATTTCTGTTGCTATGATCCACACCACTACCAAAACCAACTTTTGGAGGTTTCTTTCATCTTACCATCATTAAGGGAAGTCAGGGCAGGAACTGATGTGGAGATCATATAGGGAATGCAGCTTACTGGTTTGCCTCCATGGCTTGCTCAGATTGCTTTTTTCTACAACTGCCCAGTGATGACACTGCCCACAGTGAGTTTGCCCCTCCACCAACAATCAAGAATCTGTCCCTCAGATTTACCTGCAGGTAATCTGAGAGAGGCATTTTCTTAATTGAGATTCCCTCTTCCCAGATGACCCCAGCTGTTAGTAAACGGACAAAAAACAAGACAAAACAAAACAAGTGATCAATATTTAATATTTAATAACTTACTTTTTCCTCCATCAATAATTATATTAATGACAGGAGGACATTTGTGAGTGGAAATGTGGCTTTAATTTTCTAATCTTTCAGTTAAAAATCCATTTATTTACTGAGTGTGTGTGTGGTGGTAGAGCAGACATGTAGAGGTCAGAGGACAACTTTGGAGAGAAGATTCCCTTCTTCCACTATATGGGTCCTTGGATTGAACTCAGGTAGTCATGTTTGACAGTAAATGCCTTTCCCACTGAGCCATCTCACTGGCCCAAGATAACAACTTTTAAATCTCCCTTAAATATAATGCATGTGTATAGATATTAAATATCATTGGGAGTTGTTCCTTATTAACTGAAAGGGATAAAAGTCTGAATCTGGACAACTTGAGGAAGCTCATGATTGCATTCTATGAAAGTCTGATGACATAATTGTAATAATCTTACTCATGGATGTAGACACTGACTCATAGTTCTTTTTTTTTTTTAAACATAATTTGATTGTGGATGTCAACCAAAAATGACAGATAGTATAGTTCATAAACGAACAGGTCTTAAAAGACTTGGCATAGGAGAATATCTAAAGGCCTTTGGGTCTATATATGCTGAAGTCAAGGGAACTGAAAATGGTGAGAGTTAAATGGCATTATTTCCATCCCTTACTCTATGTCTGCAGCCTTTAGTGACCTCTCTGACTTGCCCCCGAGGTGGGGGCATGAAGGTGACACTCAGACACAATATTGGCCACATCCCTTGCAGTGCATTCTGGCTGATGTTTCCTAAAGAAATGAGGGAATTATTTTATTTTGATTACAGCTTAAGTATAGTAGTTAAGTTTACCAGTGTTCCACACCCTACTTTTGTAACAAATCATCTAGACCTAAATGTTTCTATTCACTATGAAGACTATACTTGTCTAAATTTATCCATTCAGTTATCAGTCAAGTTTCAACCCATTCCTTACATTGTGTCAGACCCTGTGCCAAGTACTATTGAAGGATGGTTTTGTTTTAAATTGAAGTCATGAACCTCAACAAATACACTATGGAGCCAGGCATTGGTGGTGAATGCCTGTGATCCCCGCACTTGGGAGGCAGAGGCAGGCGGATCTCTGTGAGTTTGAGGCCAGCTTGGTCTACAGAGTGAGTTCCAGGAGAGGCTCCAAAGCAACGCAGAGAAGCCTGTCTCAAAAAACAAAACAAACAAACAAACAAAAAACAAATACACTATGACACATGTCAAAGATTTCATGTAACTCATTATTTAGTGAGGGAACCAAAAGTGTTGCTCTTTGGAAGAGATTCCAAAGATGTGATTAACTCCTCCTCCAACCCCAAGCCAAAGAGAGAATCAGTTAGACTGCCACTTTACAGAGTATATTAATGAGCAAGAATTGCTTGCATTGCTGTCAGGTGTCTTCCACTCCTCAGTGTTGTAAGATGGTCCTAGTCAAAAGATGGGAAGACACAGATAAGCACTTCCTTCCTTGTGCCAGAGAAAGAAGTTCTCACAGCAGCAGAGCAGGAAGAAGACCAAGGCGAAGACCCAAGGCAACAAAACACCACTGGAAAGTTAGGAGAGCTGGGGACACGTAAGACAAAGGGCAGAGACCAAAATGAAGGCAGGAGTCAGATCAGAGTATGTCACACTGAAGAACTAAGTTGCCACAGGTTTGTGCCTGTTGTAGGATCAGTGGGTTATATGAGACGCTTTTAAATAGCATGTAGGGTTCTTTTTAATTCATAGTATTTAAAAGAAAATATCTGTCAGAGTAATTAATTCTTTAGTAGTTTGACTAGGGTAATGCCAAATTTAAGTTAAACTGTGATTTTTCTCTAAAAGGATCTATTAAGTTACCAAGACTACCTACAAGTGGCATGTGGGGATGTTAAAATCCTAAAAGTTGGCAAAAGTTTTAAAGTTTGAGAAATTCTGATTTCAGTAAGTGATGGGGAATATTTGAAATATTGTAATCATGATAGTTACTTCACTTTTGGATTTTTGAGAACTCACTTAAGCTGTTCTAGAAAGAGGGCTACAAGCTCAAGGAGTCTTACAGCTGGCTTTGGTGGTGCAGGCCTGTAACTCGAGTACCTGGAGGGCTGAGGTAGGAGGAT